CCTGGATTTCAAATCTTCGTGTCGAAGTTCTTCTTAGGTTTTTTGGGCTGGAGGCTGAAATACGTTGCGAAGCCTCCAAATCATGAAGTAGGCATTCTAGGTCCGAACCCAGCCATGCCCGAGAGTATAAACTCAACATGGCCCGAAAGAAGGGCAGTTCCTGAACCCTGACGCTGCGACACCGTTTCAGCCCACAGCCCCTCAACTGCAAGCCCTGAAATCTGAAACCTGAAACCCTACTGGCCGTTCGGATGGCCGTTGCAGAACAGAGAGACTTGGGATTCCGGAAGTAAGGTTTCACCCGCAGGGCCTTATGGGGGCCTAAGCTGGCGGTCGCAAGGCTGTCAAGTTTTCATATTTGCGCCCAACTTCATCCAAAATTGAAAGTTTCGTTTTTCCTGCTCACATGCAAACTGTTTTTTTTATGAGAGAGGGACTGGCTGTGGGTTTTGGACTACTTTCAATTTCGATTTTAAGAATGCTCGGTTTGAGCTCCGATGTGCGGGTAATATATTGCGACGCAACTCTTGCTTGGAAACAAACAAATACAGATTTGGGAGCTATGCAAGCAAAGGCTTGCACTTCAAAAGATTCCTCCAATCCTTAGGCTTGAACCCATCCTCTGATCAGTCCAAACCCCTGCACTCAACACCGAAATTTTGAAACCTTCGGCCAGCCATTTCAGCCGACAGTTTTGAGAAGTCGGTTAATTGAGGAGGAATGCGGTTGCTTATAGCTATAGGGTTGGGTTCGCCTAGTTTACGCAACATCAAAATGGACGATTTTCGGTCTGCATGCGCAACAAGCGCCTTCTCACTTCGACTTGCTCTTGTCGTGTAATCCCGTACACATGCCACTTTTGTTGCACACATCGCCATCGGTTTGAGCTGCGTCTGTTTGTGGCAATTCCCCCTGACCCCTCCCAGGGAGGGCCCGCGTTCACTGCATGTGAAGTATGGTCCCTGGTGGGCCCTCATGGGCCCTCGTCCTAGAACTAGGCCCCGAACTTGAGGTGCCGACCCCGGAAAGAGCGTTAGGGAATAAAGAAGAACCCGAAATCCTAACTCCCCCCTCCAAAACGAAAAACAACAAAACAAAACTGGCCTTAGGCGGCTCAGAGCTGAAAGCGGCGGCACCGCGGTCAGCTTGTTGACTGTGAAGTCAATCCTGTTTCGAATAGGGTTTAGGATTTAGGTTTTCGAGAGGGTTTAGGGTCCCTGACAGGGTTCCTTCAAAAGTTTAGACCAGGGTTTATGTTTAGGGTCCCTTAATGTGGTTACTCTAAGAGGTTTTCGAGAGTCTAGGCTTTAGATGTGTTCCGATTTTGGGACTCGGGGCTTAGGGTTTAGGCTCCTGGCCTTCACATCCCGAGGACTACTCAAAGCCCCACAATAGCTCGCCTTTGGGATTACCTTATATGATTCTAAATATGAACCACAAAAAGGAACTACTATGGGGCCTACGGGTAATGTAAACCGGCGATTTCCATCCTCATGCTCAGGGCTGTAAACCCTGAGCCAGGGTTTGCATTCTGAGTAATTCCGGGCCCTAAACCTTAAACCCCAAGCCCTAAACCTTAAACCTAATTTAGGGTTTTAGGAGCTTTACAAACTTTACTGCATTTAGGGGGTTTCAGGGTCCGGGGCTCGGGCCTTGAGCTCCCGCTATTGTACGGTTATCTTGGGGTGGTGTAGGGTTTAGGGTTTAGGGTTTAGGGCGTAGAGTTTAGGCAAATGTGTCATGGGTAGTAGGAAGTCTGGTGATAAGTGCCGTGATGCAGGGTTACAACTAGCTACAAGTGTCGTTGCACTGAGCAGAACCCTACTTGCTAGCTCCCCGGATCTCTCTCAAGTGGGGAATTTGACCTTCCAAGGGTTTAGCCTCCTCTTCTTGAGGAGACAAGTGGTTCAAATAAGCTTGGGTTCAGGGATGTTCAGGGTCTGGGAGGTCGGAAATACCTGGACCACAAAAAAATGTGGAACACAAGTCATATGTGGGGTTTAGGGTTCTGGAATTTGGGGTGAAGGAGCCTACAGCTTAGAGTTGCGCATGGCATTTGGAGAGTGCTATAGCGTTGAGGATCATATGGAGGCCTTCCTATTTGGACTAGGGTCTTGCAGCGTTTTGGAGGCATCGAATCTTAAATCACAGCTAGATACGGACGAGGAGGGGACACAAGCACTAGATCCTGCTTGCGTGTAGGTGCAGATGAGTCGTGAGCTCTCCGACGGGGATGTTTGTAAGGATCCTCCAAATAGTACATCATATGACCAGGACTCCAAAGACCGCAGCAATTTAGAGTTGAGGGCTTAGCTTAGTCTTGTTTCAGACAGTGGCACTTTACTCCGCAGAGTACCTGGGGCTTAGGGTATGGAGCTTAGGGCTTAGCGTTCAGGGCTTAGGGCTTAATCTAGGGGCCCAGGGGCATTACTGATTAGAATTGGGGCCTTGGGCCCCTTCTACCATAACGATAATCAGGAACCCCACCATTAGTTTTGGTAGTTATCTAGGCCCCTAAATCCCTACATCCCTATAGAAACCTTTTGAGCATCTCTTTTAAGGAACCCTTTTCAAAGGAGCCCTATAGGCAATTCTCTACTTGGAGGGTCGGGGGGCTTAGTAACTTGTTATTTTAGAGACTTAGAAGTACCATAACCCCAATTAGGGTCCCTTTTAGGGTACTTATAAGTCTACGTACTAACTAGTTACTAAGTCCCCTGACCCCCCCAAGTAGGCCCCTAGATTAGGGAGTTTCTTCAACCTGGCCTCTGGCACCATGGCAAACTGGCATCGTGCAGGCACTCGAGCGTGTTCACCTGGCAATTCCCTACGCCTTACCTTGGGTTAGTAGGGAATGGATGAGTGGGGTACAGTTATAACTACAATTACTACCTTTCTTCCATTCCCTACTAACCAAAGGTAAGATGCTTGCCCAGAGAACCGAACCCAATACCCCTCAAATAGGGAATATACCTTAAATTATAGAGGCCTTAATATTGTGGTTCAAGGTAATATTCCTTGATTACGGGGTATTGGGATCTCTGGGTGATGATATAAATCCTACATTACCCATAATAGGGAATATACCATAACTCCCGTAGCTTAGGGCCCTTAAGGTAATGCAGGATGTATATCATCGACCGTAGGACTAGGAGCTTACCTGGACCCCAAGTGTAGGTAGAGTAAAGGCCTTTTAGAAGTATTGGGCCACTAGTTTACGTACGCTTGGGAGCTTAAGGCTTAGTGGGGGACTTTTAAACTGCATGGATGTATGCGTATATAATACTTGACTGAAACGCTGCATTGTGGCATTCGTATGGGAACTCGGAATGTGGAGTTGCATTCTCACTCGGCTCTCTTGCGGCCTAAACCCTACACCCTACAGCTAAACCCTTAACCCTACACGCCAAAGCCTAAACCCTAAACCCCTAAACCTACACCCTAAACCCTGAACCCTAGACCCTGATGGGCGTTAAATTTTGGGGGGGGCTTGCGGCTTTTGGGGAGCTAACGATCCCAGAAATTTCTGCGAGGCCTTCCACCGCCAAGGCGCGATTGAAGGCTTTGGGGATGTAATCTAGGGGGGCCCTAATAACTAGAATAGGGTGCCTGTAAAGGGATCCTTAAAAGAGCTCTATAAGGAATCTGTAAGGATACTATAATACAGGGCCTTAATCATTAGAATAGGGCTTTGGGGTCCATCCATTATACTGTAATTATAACAAGGAACCCCCAAAATAGTATCGGTAATGATTAAGGCCCCTATAGTAACATCAAAAGCACCTCAGAACAAACAACCCTGACCTTAAAATCTCAAACCTCTGACTTCCTGACCATGGCGTCAAGAGCATTTCAACCTTTTACTTTGAAGCACTCGGCACCATCATTCTCGCACTTTCCTACTGCCTATGGTCTTGAAGTCCCGCTTCTGTTGGCCAAACCAAAACTTAAACCCTAAACCCTAGTCCCTAAACCCTGAACTCTTTCTCGGATTCGATTGTGTGACACGAGGAAATCTGTTTCAGGATCAGGCTTTCAGGTATCGCTTAAGTTTGGATGGGTGGCCCACCTCCGAGCTGGAGCCACAGCCTTTTTCGAACCGAGAGATAAAGTCTTACTTAGTCAACGGCTGCTGGAGTCACCAGGTAACCGAACTTTATTCTACCAAGCCCGAGCGAGAGCCCCAAACTACTTTCCCCTCACTTCCTCTCAACCCTCGAATCACTCCACCCTCTAAACCCTGAACCTAAACCCTCAACCCTAAACCCCCTCTCGAATACTAACCACAGATAACGAAATAGTACATACCTTTGCTTTGTTCCCAGGCAGTCGTCGCACGTTTTCTGCAGACGCCGGGTGGATGACTCACAGCTCTTGAACAGAAGGTATTCAGGTGATGGCCCGGTTCAGGGGTTTCCGAAAATTAGGGGTACCTGATTTGGAGGTCCTTGTAATAAGGATCCTACTTATCGGAAAATCCCATTTAGGGTTTGACGAGGTTTAGGGTTGAAGAGTGAAGTGCCATGGGCTGTTAAAGGAGGTTTAGGGTTTAGGGTTTAGGGTTTACCAAGGTTTCATACAGGGTTAAAGGTTGCTATGCAAGGACTTATGCCGATTCGAACGAGGGTGTCATTTTGTGGCTTCCACTGATCAAGCTTTGAGGTGCTCTAGCAGACTGGGCCGAGCTAGGGGCTCAGGGCAGCGATTTGCATTGAAATGGCACCCACAGCTGGATTACTTTGAGCCTTTGCGTCAGGGCTTCTTCAAGTAGGCCGGTGCTTGGATGGGCATCGCTGGGGCTCACGGAGGCGGAAACAAGGCGAGGAGTTAGGCAGCAAGCTCAGGGTCTCGCTCAAGAGCCGGAGAGTCAAGAAGATGAAGCTGCAACAGGATCCGATTGCCACTTTGGGCGATCCAAACTCATCTGCAACTCTGTCCTACGCCTCGCAATCCCTCTGCACCCTGCTAGAACAAACGGCCCTACAGCCATCTGCACTCACTCACTGTCGCGCATCAGTACCTGCGCCCCATGACAGCCGAATGGACGACGCCTTTTGTTTGCTCTGGTGCATGAGCTGGGGTCGCAGATACACCGCCGATTCAGCGTTCTAGGATTCAACAATTTTTCCCTCGTGAATACACTGCGAGCCCTCCAGGCACGAAGAGCTGCAAAACAAGAAACTGATACAGCAGACAGCCTAAACCCCAAACCCTCAACCCCAAACCTTAAGCCCTAAACCCTGAACCGGAAATCACCAAACTCTCAACCCCAAACCTTGAGCCCTAAACCCTGAACCAAAAATCCCAACTCCTCTCCCTCATGAAGATCGGCCCCGAACGCCTGCACCGAAACCCTAAACCGGACGCAGTCTCGGGCAATGGTATCGCTTTGAGGATGTTAGCATGTAGGATTTTGGGGCCCATAAAGGGGTCTATAAGGGATCTATAGTAGGGTTCTTTGATATAGTTGACCCGAAACTCTACGGTTTAGGATTGATCGGGTTGATGATAAGCCCTGATCTAAAGCTCGAAGGGAAGTAAACCCTCAACCCTGCACCCTGAAGCCTTCAACAAGCGCGACAGATGACAACGCGAAACCTTCGAACACCTTCTCAATGAAACCCCCCTTGCTGGGCCCTTTCTTTCGAAGGAACCCTAAACCCCTAAACCTCTAAGCCCTAAAAACCCTAAACCCTCAAACCCACAAAGCCCTTCAGAGGTCCCTCACTAGCCCAGAAAAAACCGAGTGCCGTACCGTTCACCGAGTCCCAAAGCCCGGCTAAGCGCTCCCGTACAGCGTCCTCGACAGTGCAATTTGATAATGTAGAAACCTCATTAATTAAGAGACTTTGGGCCTTTATTAGGGTTTCTTATATATATATATATATATATATATATATATATGAATCCTACTATTTTGGGGTTACAGCAGGGGTCTGGGGTTTGGGGCCGCTGATATACATCACCGGGTTGCATGCAGTGGGGTGATACGCCTCGTACCTGAGGGTCATAAGATGCTGTGAAGGGCTGGGCTTGAGGCTTCCGTTGCAGGCCAGCGGCTTCAAAGATCAACAGGGACTGTGGGAGCTGCAAATTATATACGTTTTTACAGAGGTAACACTAGACTAATTAAGTAAACTCATATCATCATCATCCTAAACCTTGAACCCTCATGTACACTTATATAATCACCCTCTAGCGACCCGACACCCTCCCCACACCCTCCCCGAAGTCCAGCGCGCTCAGGGGCGAAAAGCGCAGCATCATGAGGATGTTGCCGAGACCTAGCTCCCTGCGAGCGGCGTACGGGTTGAAAATAAATAGGGTTTAGTTTGGTGTTTAGAATTCAAGGTTGAGAAAGTCTACTTAGGGCGTAGCGGGTCAATCATGGGGTCTAGGGCTTCTTTGCAGGAGAATGGACACGGCCCTGTACCTGAGTCTGTTGCTAGAAACCCCTTGACCCTTGAAAAAGGCTTGTCTATGCTCTCTTGGGAACCTTCGAAGCCTCCCACTCACAGGATCTTCAATGTACCAGGAATCCCGCCAAAGCAAGCTCTTCAGGTCAGGAAGGTACCTTTCACGGATTCACAAAAGCCTTGTGGTCCCTAACTACGATATCCCTCGCGAAATGAGGTTTCGAGGTCATTTGAAGTCAATCATTGTTCTGCTGGCTGGGGCTTCGGAGCATGGCAGTTTCTTGGGTTTCGATTTCAGCTAGAGAAACCGATGGTACCTTTCAAAAGATATATGACTCGACCCTAAACAGTTGGCACATTTAGGGCTTAGGGCTCAGGGGTTTAGGGTATTTACATTGTTCACGGTACCTTGCGTACTGTACGTCCACTGTAGGTATGGCTTGCAGATGAGGGAGCTTGTGGGTCTGGGGATAAAGGACCTTGGGTCGTGAGGCTTCAGGGGATTCAGACAGCAACCAGAAACGGAATGCTTCTCAAACCCTAATCCCTGAAAGCTAAACCCTATTTCCTAAATCCCAAACCCTCATGACCCTAATCAGCGAATCCTTATGGATCCCAAGCTTCTCAAGCTCTCAAAGTTTCAGAAGATGACGGACCAAATTGTCGGCCCAACGTAATGGAATCTTTATTGCAAGGATTTCCGATGTTAAGATGCACCGGTTTGGGTACTTGGACCTTTCTGGTGGCAAGTCCCTGTATCCTCAACCCGAACCATAAACCCTACTTAGAGGTTCATGGTACTTAGTAAGTAGGGTTAAAAATAACGTAGCTATACTTATAATTGGCTATATCCCCAGTTAAGGTACTTATAACTGTACGTGCTAAGTCCAATGAACCTCCAAGTAAGCCCTTTGCCCTGCGCCTCATCTCCTCCACCAGCTTCGGGGAGATGGCAAGCGTATGCAGGAGCAGCACCTTGAGCGGTTTAGGGTTCAGGGTTTAGGGTGAGGCACATCGCCCGGCTATCGAGCATAAATGCATGTACATGCACATATACATGTGCACATACACATGTAGATACATACAGATACAGATAGACAAGTGCATGAATGTATGTATCTATGCATGCAGGCGGACACACATACATACACTCGTACATACATACACACATACATGCATGCATACATACATACATGCACACGGCCAGCGCATTCAGTAAGGAATCGTTGGGAATAAGACACGAGACCCTGGATTTTGTGGTTTCTTTCGCAGGGTCTTTTAAACACTACCTATTACCTAAACTCCCTACTTCCTAACCCCGAAACCCTAACCCCCCTAAACCCTAACCCTAAACCCTTTCAACCGCCAAACCCAAAACTGCCTAAACTGCCCAACCCCCCTAAAGCCCAACTTCTGCGCACAGCTCGCTGCGACCAGTTCAGAGCCCAGCCGAGCACCTTTCGAACCAGGACCCTCCATGTGCCCTCAATGGAGGGTCTAGGAAGTAGTCGAAAAGCTTCAGCTGCCACTAGTTGGCAGTCTTCCCGAGGGAGCTGGCTCTGCAACAGCTCCTCAGCCAGCATGCCAAGACTTTCGCGGCGAGGGGCGACACTTGCCTTTCAACATGTCTCATGCGGGTGGTTGTCAATATTAGGGTCCCTTTTTTTGGTCCTTCATACAATACGGCACCTAATATTTAGGGTACCCAAAGAGGGATCATAATTTTGACAACCACCCATGCTTGCTGCAAGCGCAGCTGTTTCTCGGCTGGCGTCTCAAAAGCAATGAGATGCTGAGCCCTCTCGAACAAGTTTTGCCGTGCATCAAAGTCACCCGGCAGAGTGAGAGCAAGCTCCTCCTGCAAGGCAGTCAGCTTCTGCTTGCGCATCGCAGCTGGAAACCAGAAAAGCTTTGGACAAGCAGCCACATACATTCAAAGTGTTCAGCTGGTTTGGCTCTGCTCTGCAAATTCGCCTTCGCACATGGAAGAACTGCTGCTTGGGGACATTCAACACCGAAAATCGAATAAAAGCCTGCTAGTCATGACAAATGCCGGTAGATCACCAAGAAAACGCCAATGTCTCTGTTTCGAAACTCACAACGACCAAAAACAATCAAACCAATGGTCGAAGGTGCAAAAAAGTGCGGCGTCTGGACGCCCACGGCAACCAAAGCGCATATCGTCACTGAGGGAGCTAACCAAAAACTACCTTCCCTGGAAGATTAACTCCTAAATCCCTGGACTATACGCAAACGGTGTCTGGTTGCACAGTAATTACGGAACCTCTGTTCACAACAGTGCTTCCAAGATCCCTGAACTGGAACTCAGACAAGTTCCGTCTCAAATCATATACCTTAAGCCCCCCAAAAAATAGGCGCACACCCTAAAGTCCCAAAGCCTCGATCGGGGGTGAGGGGTCTCTGATGCATTCTCTAGGCCAGAGGTATCAGCAGGTTGAAACAGGTTCCCGGGCAGAGTTCACCGCGCAGTCCGTCGCCGCACCTCGTGATAACATTAGCGCAATCGTGTAATGACGGAACATGAAGCAATACATGGCCTACCCCGAAATAATCCCGAGGATGATTGTGATGGTGACGACGATGCCGACGACGATGGTGATAATGATGGCAATCCTGATGGTGATGATTCATATGATGAGGAAGCGACGATGGTGACCATCATGAAAATGCTGGTGATACCGGCCTGTTATGAATAACTCATATCTTTTAATATAGGAGCCTTAGTAACTAGAATAGGGTTTTGGGGCCCATCACACTATAATTCGAACAGGGATCCCCGGAAAGGGTTAGGGTTTAGGGTTTAGAAACACAAACATACAAGCTGAACCCAAGGGCTCCCGTAGTTGTGGCTAGAGCGACACACCAAACCCCACGAAAAACAGCCCCCCCCAGAGAGCCCAATACCCCTTAAATAAGCACTATGCCTTAAATTACAGAGGCCTGAATAGTATGGTTTAAGGTATTATTCCTTAATTCCCTTATAGAACCCTTATAGATCCCTTTTGTAAGGAACCCTACGGTATATTCCTTAATTAAGGGGTCTTGGGATCTGGGGGCCTGGATGTCAAACATTCACATGGCCGGTGCGAGTGCTACGTATGTAGGTGCTACGGTTGATAGAAATCCTAGGGTTCCTTTAAAGGGATCTATAGGGTACCTTTAAGGGGCTCTTTTAAGGGATCTATAGGGGTTTAGGGTTTAGGGATATAAATCCTGCATTACCTTAATGGCCCTAGACTATGGGAATTATGGTATTATATCATCAACCGTACCTGGATCCTGTAAACCCTTCCTTGTGAGGGTTCCCCCTTATGATTTCTTTGTATAAGTCCTGAAAAGTAGGTTATTTGAGGTTACTCATAGGCCCCATCGTAGTTCCTTTCTTGTGGCTCATACTTAGAATCCTATAAGGTCATCCTAAAAAGGAACTACTTTGGGGCCTTTGGGTAGGGTATACCCCAGTCAGAGCCTCAGTGGGTTTAAAGAGCCCGGTCATCAGCGAGATTTGAACTGCACTGGCTGGGCTATCGTCATAATCCCTCTTTCACCCAGACCCCCGGCAAAATCCAAAAAGCAGATCGAAGTACCCTTAGTAGTATAGGGCCCCAAATTAGGGGATCTACTTTCTAGATCCTCCCCGGGGTTCTGGGCAGCATGGGCTTGAACTGTGTGCTAAATCCGAAACCCTGCATCCATACCAAGTCCATCAACCTTCAACTTACGTTTTGCTCTTCAAGGGGCCCCTGAACCCTAAGACCCTAAACCCTAAGCCGCTGGCACCCTGAAAGGATCCATCATTAAGCCCGCGGCTGTTTGCAGACTCTAGGCCTCTTTCTTCCGTCTCGGCGGGCAACGGCGGTTCAAAGGGGTTAGTATAGGGGCCTTGATTCTAGGAATAGGGTTTTGGGGCCCATTATACTGTACTTATAATAGGAAGGAACCCCCAAAACAGTATTGGTAATTAGCTAGGCCCTTACATTATGAGGGTTGAGGGGTATCACAAGAGGTTGAGGGTTCAATTCTAGCGCCTGGGGTTTGCGGTTTAGAGATTGAGGTGTTCGTGATTCGCTGTAAATCTAGGTACTTAGAGCATAGGACCGTCCAGAGTTTAGGGAACTGCATTCAAGTTATAGAGTTCTCAACGTAGCACTCCAGACCAAACAAAAAACCTGATTCCAACAGTCTTCCCCCAAGGCGGCTTTATCCAGCTATGTACATCTTACTTCTTACTTGTATTGTTAATATGGCTGTTACTGTGATATGTATTACTGTTGTTGCTATCACGGTTGGAGATTCTGGACCCTGCTATCTATCCCCACAGAGCCCGGTCCAAGAAACCGTTTTGGACTGATCCGCAACTTGCTAAAACAATAAGCTGCAACAACATAAACCAACGAATGCATAAATAGATTCTGGGTTTAGGGTTTGGGTTTACAGGTATACTAAACTTATCTAGCCGCCGTAGCCCCTCACGCCTCCACAACCTGAACACTCGCCCGAGGAGGCTTTATGGGGCTTCTTGTTGTTCATGAGCAGGTGGCAACCTTTACAAGACCACATGGGGAATTGCAACAGTGTACCAAGTGACTTTAGGGTTTAGGGCTTAAGGTTTAGGGTTTAGGGCTTGGGGCTTAGGGTTTAGGGTTTAGGGCTTAGGGTTTAGGGTAGGGAAATCACCTAACTTTAGTTTTGAAGTCGCTGCGCTGGGTGTCGAACGATGTCCTTCAGCTCCTGCCAGATGAGCTGTTGCTCCAGTCTGACCCTATAGCCCTTGTAGCTTCCATAAAGATTCAAGGGTTTTGGGGTTTAGGGTTTAGGGGTTTTGGGTTTTGGGTTTAGGGTAGATTTACAAGGATTTTCGGCGGCTATCAGCACTTTTTTGGCATGTCTGAGGCACAGATAAACCATGTGAAGCCCGAGCTATATGATTCAATGCGGAGAAGCTTAATGCCCCGCAACCTAATTCTTTTCATAAATTCAGCATGACTAGTATATAAACGTTAAATATTTAAACCCTAAGCCCATGGCCCCAAAAAAGGGCTTATGGTCGCCTTTTCTGGCTTACCTGGGTCTCAACCTGACACTTAACGGTAAGAGATGCTAAGATCCTACACTACACTGGACCGTGCGAAAGCTGCAGATGCGATTGTACGGTTGTATGTATTTAGCATTTTTCTTTATGGCGGCTGACGGTTTGCAGTCGATTAGATGTTTGCTTTCCTGCATTCTTGTCCTGGCATACATAGGTAGTTCTCTAAATTAGGGTCCCGTTTATGGTCCGTTTCAAAAGAGGGTGCCGTACGATCCTGGGGACCTAAACAAGGCCCCTGATTCAGAGAACTACCCACATGACATGAGACTTCCCATCACTTGGGCGATCACGGGACGTACGATCACAGGACTCACCAAGTAGGTTAAGGGTTTAGACTTTAGGGTTTAGGTGCTTAGAGTTCAGGGTTTGGGGTTTTAAGTAGTTTGACCTGCGGGTATCCTACTTAAATAGTACTTGTCAAGCTACCCTGACAATTTCACGAAATCCCCTGACCCAGACACTATACGTAAACCCCACACCTACAAGTCGCTAAGCGCCCTCCCAACTCCTAAACCCTAACCCTACTATACCCCCTTAGAACCATACTAAACATAATAGTGTTAATATTCTCTTGGGTTTTATATGAACAAAAATACATAGTCATTCCTAAGGAGACGATAGTCTAAACCCCTGCTTCCTTGATGATGACCGGAAGAGAGTGGCCGATCTCCTGCAGAGATTGCTTCGAGATTCGTAAGAGGTGTAGGCATCGGGATAGGGGAGGGGGGAGGCCCGGCCTAAGGGGTTTGGGGTGTAGGGTTTAGGGTGTGGGATTTGGTGCTAGTGGTTTGGGTGTAGGGTTTAGCTGCCAGCGAAGTCCTGGGCTTTGAAGACCCACGAGTGTACACCCCGGACTGCTGCAACCACAGTCCCTTTTATCTCTGACAATTGCTAGAACTCCAAAACACAGCAGCTCAGCACCTGGCTGCAAACACCACACACAGAATCACATAAACCCTAAAGCCTACCCCCCACCCCTTGCTAAACATCCCGAAAACTAACAATGAAACTCCAAGCCTTAAACCCTATATGCCCGCAAGGTGAATTCAATATCTGAAAACTTCAAACTAAGCCCCCGGACTAAGCCCTAAATCCTAAACCCTACACAGCCAGGGGTGCTGTAGCACCCACGTTAGGCCCGGTACCGGGACACGTCATTACCCAAATGCTGAGTTGGCCACCCCCCTGGCCCCCCCCTGGCCCCCCCTGGCCCTGGTTTTTCTTGGCCCCCCCCACTCTTCTGCGCGACCCAACCGCCCTCACCTCCTGCCGTGCTCTGCCCTACAATGCCCTGCCTTTTCCGAGCAGAAGCTTGGCTGCAGAATTGTGTGGTTGTTGTTGACCAACATGGACCTAACAGAGTTTAGGTCCTAAACCCTAAAAGGTATAGGTTTGGGTGGTTTGCCGCCTCAGACGGCGTGGGGTGGGTGAGTTATGTGATGGCCCACCACAGTCGGGCCATGGCTGCGATTCGCAGGCAACAAAACCGCTAATAAATCCTACAATCCCTGTTACACTACCGCTACGCAATCTTGCAGCAAACCCTAAACCCTAAACCCCAAATCCTGAACCCTAAATCCTAAACCCTAAACCGCGAAGCCTGAAGCCTCCCTGAATCCTCTAACAGCACGCCCCCCAGGGTTCCAATAAGGGTCTTTGAGGGGTTCCTTTCCTACTATTTGCTTCAGAACCCCCAAAAAATCAAAATATATTCCTTATGGGGGTAATATGGGGATTAATATGTCTATTTTTTGGGGGGTTTCTTAAGCAAATAGCAGTTTCAGGGTCCTTGAGCGATGGTTGAAAGTTCATATTAGGGGGCTAGGCTTCTGGGTTTAGGTAACTTCTTGGAAAACCGACGTACCCATGCTTGGTTTAGGGCTTCGAGCTCACATGTTCATGCAACGCACTCATGTATCATGTACGTAAATCTATCCGTTTACTTGGTTTTGTGATCTGGTGCTCCGGACATACAAAATGGTTCTTCTATTCTTCTGGGAAATCTTTGGAACCGAAACACCAGAAACCCTTGAACCCTAACTCACGAATCCTAGCCCTAGCTACTAACGCCTGAAACCCAATCCCTACATGCTGAAGGAGAGAATTCGCTCTGCCCTTGCAATGAGGCCTCCCTGAACTTGGCGGCCAAGCTGTGGCCCCCGAAGGAGAATCTGAACAAGTTGTCGTTTAAGGGTCTTTCCAAGCAGTCGTTTCAGAGGGTATGGGAGTTTAGGGCTTGAGGTTCAAGCTTGGTGGCTGGGTGGGGTTCTGGAAGTGTACTGCATGAGAGTTTCAAACCCTAAACCCTAAACCCCTAAATCCTAAACCCTAAACCCAGGACAGACGAGATAAGCTTACACTGTGCCGGGCCCATAGTTCGGCCCACTAGCTCGAACATGCTACAACACATACAGGGAGCTCCAGAAAGTTGGAATATGGTTTCAGGGTAGGATACCTTGTAATTTAGCATAAAGGGTTTAGGATAATCATATTCCAACTTTCTGGCTTTTACTTTAGCCCCCCAACCCTCTTGCCCATGGACTCCTAACACAAGTGAGCCCTGGGGCTTCCTCCGGAACTAGCAAGTATTATATGCTTAAAACGGGGTAGAAAAGACTCCACTAGCCTGCATAGGGTAAACGAAGCTACTCCGCAAAAGCCTGATGTTAGATGATACACATGTAGCTCGAAACTTTCGGCCCGGGTATGTATGTATGTATGTGTGTATTTTGATATAGATATAGATATAGATATAGATATTGAGATATGTATATATATACTTATATGTACATATATATATGTATATATGTGTGTATAAGATGGCATATATGTATGTGTATATATATATATGTATATGTATGCATACGGGCATTCATGGGTATGCATGTGCACCTATGTTAATCAGAGTGTCTGTACATTTACTACATTTACATACTTACATATATGTTTATATATTAATATGACCAGGTATGCGTAACTAGTTATGTAGAATTACAACATCTGCGAATACTTCTATACAACACACACACATATACTGTATATATACATATATATATATATATATATCTGTACTCGGTTTTAGAAAGGGAGGGAGAGAGAGAGAGAGAGAGAGAGAGAGAGAGAGAGAGAGAGAGAGAGAGAGAGAGGTAGAGAGACAGAAAGATGCAATGTACTATGTGTATAATGAGATCACACAAAAGTTTTACTACAATTCAAACGACTTGACTGAATACCGCTTATGACATACAATATTTTGTAACGTAGCATGCATATATGTACAGTTTTAACGTCATCGCGAATAAAACCAAACAGTCAGTTTAGAAGAGACAATAGAACATGTGGTATGAAGCACGGAATGAAGTACGCAGTATTCATAAATCAGTATTTATCTACATAGATATGCATACATTTTACATACAAGGTAGAGTAGATGTAACAGAAATACTGAAATATCACATGTTGACACATAAACATGGAACAAGATAGAACAGCGCAAACACATAAAAACATGCATATGCAGCTGCATCTTATTAGGACAGTGCACAGCGAACTATAATATATATATATATATATATATACAAGGTTGTATGAAAGAAATGAACAGTATGTGTTATAGTATGTGTCGATGTATAGTAGTAGTAGTAGTCGTCGTCGTCGTAGTAGTAGTAGTAGTAGTAGCAATAGCAGTAGCAGTAGCAGCAGCAGTAGTAGTAGTAGTAGTAGTAGTAGTAGTAGTAGTAGTAGAGCAGTGGTAGTAGTAGTGGTAGTGGTAGTAGTAGTAGTAGTAGTAGTAGTAGTAGTAGTAGTAGTAGTAGTAGTAGTAGTAGTAGTAGTAGTAGTAATAACAGCATTACAATGATCGATATTAACTCTAACAATACAAACAGATAACATACATACAGTGACGCGGAGCAAAAGAGACAGACAGAGAGAGAGAGAGAGAGAGAGAGAGACGGAAACTAGAGAGTACCTGGGGTTCGTTCACTTAAGCTACCAGCTTCCAGGCGACTCTAAGTAGGACCCCGGGCCCGCGTGTAAGCCCTCACCCAGGTTCTTCAAGCCTTTATCAAAAAACACCAGTCTCAAACTTTCAAATCCGACATATACGAGACTCTTACCAACAAGCCAACAAAAAACTTATAAGTGCCTCAGAAGAAACCCTGAACCGTACCCTACAACCTGTGAAGGAAACCCTACAACAAGCTGTCGGAAAATTCTGGAGCCAACTTGGGAGCTTTCTTCAGTGGAGGAGGTGTAGGGCCCCGACTGGCGCAGCGCGAACATGATCCTGGCCCTCGGAAGATTTTGGGCTGTGAAGGACTTATGGGCGTATACGCAGGGTTTAGGCCGCACTCGGGTTCTTAAGGCCACTTGTATCTTTACTGCTACTGCTCAGACCTCCGGGAGGATCTAAAAGACGGATCCCCGAATTTGGGACTCCAGCTACGAAAGGCGACTTTACAAACGGATGGAGATCTCGCGTGTGGGAGTTTGTAAGTAGTATCCCTTCGAATTCTAGTAAGCCCAAGCATAGCCTCAGAATGGTATCTGGACTGACAACCAACCAACCAACCTACCCTAAGGCCCCATAGTAGTTCCTTTTTGTGGCTCATATTTAGAATCCTATAAAGTAATTCCGAAAAGGAACTACTTTGGGGCCTATGGGTAGTAGTTACCTGGCTTTCGGTTTGGGATCATAGCTTCGGGATCCTGGGTTTTTAGGATCGTTCATCGGGTGCTACGGTTGATGGTATAAATCCTGCATGACCCATAATAAGGAATACACCATAATTCCCATAGTTTAGGGTCTTTAGCGTAATGCATGAGTTATATCATCAACAATATCTTATCATGAAGGGCATTCGGGTCAAGCTAGGTAGTGGGTTCAGAGGCTTACATCCTATACATGAGTCAGTCATACAGTTGAACTGCTGCAAGGATCAACTACAAACACCACTTCGCGGCCTAGGGCTTTACTTGGAGGGTCTGGGGACTTAGTAACTGGTTATTTTAGGGACTTATAAGTACCATAACCCCAATTAGGGTCCCTTTTAAGGTACCTATAAGTCTACTTACTAACTACTTACTAAGTCCCCCGACCCCTAAACCCTAAACCCTATACTACCCTTATGGAGCCCTTTAAAGGAACCCTTAGAATCCCCTTTAAAGGAGCCCTTACTAAGTCCCCCGACCCCCCAAGTAGGGGTTAGGGAGATAGAGAGCCAAGACCCGCTACGGTGTTGGGGGATTAATCTCTTGCTGAACCAGTATTCACGGTTTAGGGTTTAGGGTTTAGGGTTTAGGGCAGGGTGAGTCTCAATTGGTTTTAGTCTGGAAGGCCTTTAAGGGCTTACAGTAAGCCCCATAAAGTTGGAAACCGCGTTAAGGCCAAATAGTGCTGGGATTCCCTATACATTACTCTTAAGGATGGAGGATATCGGATATTGGGTTTCCAACTTTTGGGCTTCTGCTGTAGAGTTTACGGTTTCGGATGAGCCTTAGACCCTAAACCGGTTGGGTTTGGGAGGCTTATGCTCTGGGGTATTCAGATGCTGGATTAACTAGACCCAAGAGTAACCTAGGAATAACAAGGGTGCCCTTTTTTGGTTTAAAGGGGCTTACAAGGGAACCTGAACCCCTTAAAAAGGGAACAAGAGCCTACTCTAGGTCCTAGTTAAAGATTGTGGGTTTCAGGAGATCGCAAGTTTGGCTGAGGGCGGGGTGGCTTTAGGGCAGGATCTGGTGCAGAATTCAGTCCCAAATCCCAAAGTCCTAAAGTGCTTTACGAACGAGGGGCTTTTAGAATCTTTAACGCAACCAAAAACATCAGACCATATCAGACCTTCTATAATATGAACTCACTTAAGACGACAAGCCCGACAAGCCCAGCAAACACAGACTCAGTCCACTCCTAGCCCCCTAGCTTGTAGACGGTCGCAGTACGTAGCCCTAGTAAGGTCATAACATATCGTAAACATATTATACTCGTTAAGATGTTCAAAAGCATCAAAATAGCAATCTCGTACTATGGCAAGGCAAAAGAATACTGGCAATGAGACCCATGCTGTAGAAACCTTATACAGAAACTTCATAAAAAAGCCTGATACAACCCACCCTGCCACATGGCGCTGGCCTGAGCAAACCGCCGCTAGGGGCGTCCACATGGAGCTGCAGCAGGCGCTCGACCACCCTAAGAAGTGATGTTAGGTCCCCAGAGATCCCAATACCCCTTAACTAAGGAATATACCTTAAATCATAATATTATTATGATTTAAGGCCTCTATAGTTTAGTTAAGGAATATATGCCTTGAATCATCATATTAAGGCCTCTATAGTTCAAGGTATACTCCCTAATTAAGGGGTATTGGGTTCTCTGAGTTCTATAATTCAAGGTATATTCCTTAATTAAGGGGTATCGGAATTCCCTAAACCCTAAACCCTAAACCCTAAATCCTAAACCCTAAACCCCTAAACCCCTAAACCCTCAACCCTCAACCCTAAACCCTAAGTCCTAAACCCTAAACCCTAAATCCTAAACCCTAAACCCTATAGATCCCTTAAAGGATCCTTTCCTTAATTCGGGGGTCTTGGGATCTCTGGGTCTTTACGTTGTAGGGCCTTAAGGGTTCGGAGGCTTCGGAGCTAGGGCCTTTGGGGTTTAGAAGTTTAGGGTTCCTTTAAAGGGATCTATAGGGGTACCTTTAAGGGCTTCCTTTAAGGGATCTATAGGGTTAGAGGTTTAGAGGTTTAGAGGTGTAGAGGTTTAGAGGTTTAGGGTTTAGGGTTTAGTGGCTTAGGGTTTAGGGTTCAGGGGGAGTTGGGGCCTTCAGGTTTAGAGGTTTAGGGTTTAGGGTTCAGTGGGATTTAGGGCCTTCAGGTTTAGAGGTTTAGAGGTTTAGGGTTTAGGGGGAGTTAGGGCCTTCAGGTTTGGAGGTTCAGGGTTTAGGGTTTAGGAGCAGTTAGGGCCTGTAGGTTCAGAGGGTTACGGTTGAGCGTCTCAGGGATTTCAGTGCTTTTTAGGATTTAGGGTTTAGGGTTTAGGGTTTAGGTTTAGAGCTCGCGTCCAGTCGCTTCAGGAGTTGCCAACAGGCTTTGAAGATAGTCCGATTTGGTAAGGAAGCCCTCTGTTTTCAGCAGGTTATACCCCCTCTAAAGCAGCATTTGCTACAATCCCCCACAAGCCTACCTAGACCCAGAGGCCCCATAGTAGTTCCTATAGGATTCTATATACGAACCCCAAAAAGGAACTACTTTGGGGCCTTTGGGTAGACCCTATTCTAATGATTAAGGCCCCTATATTATAGTACCCTTATAGATCCCTTATAGTATTCCCTTAAGGAACCCTTTAAAGGGAACCCCAAAAGAGGAACTACTTTGGGGCCTTTGGGTAGACCCTTGAACTACACTTTGCTGTAGCCCTGATCTCCTCCTACTCAGGGGTATGAGACCCCCTTAAAGGAGCCCTGAGGGATCCTCCTTAAAGGGACCCTGAGAGATCCCTTAAAGGAACCCAGACGGATCTCCCTTTAGTGGGGCCCTTCAAGGAACCTTACTTGGAGGTTCATGGGTAGTTATAAGTATAGAGTTATAAGTACAGTGGGGTAACTGTACTTACAACCCATATTTGGGGACTTATAACCCTACTTATAACTACCCATGAACCTCCAAGTAGGAATCCTTCAAAGAAAGATCGCGTCAAGAGGCGATGTCGCGCTACAAGCTGAATGAGCTGCGATGCTCCCCGTCAGGAATTCCAGCAACCATTGAGGGGGTTTAGGGTTTAGGGTTGACTCTGAATCCCGTGTAGAACGTAAAACACCCAGCCCCCAAACCTTATTCGTACCTTTTGAGGAACCCGTCAATACTGGGACCCTGCCACCCAGACCTGACCCGGATGAGAAGCTTAAACTCTAAACGCTAAAACTTAAACATTACCTGGCTATCCAATGGCATACTGTTTTTCAAGGTTATACCCTATACCAAGGGGGTTGTAACCTAATTATAGTTTTGCAGGGCTTAGGGCTGCAGGTACATGATATACCGATGAGTACCATCTCCTCAAAAATTAATGGGCAAACCGCGTAGACGCAGGGGCATGCGGCCGTGAATCTCGTGTGCTATGACCATGGACCGACGCATGCTTCTACTGAGCAAACACCGAGCCAATGCCAAGGCCAACATAAACTTGCTCTCAGTTACCGCTGCTTCGGCCACCGCCGTTGGCACCCTCACCGCCATCCGGATTGCAGGCTTGCTGCGTATTCTGCCCATTCCCGCGGCCACCCTCACGACCATCCGGATTGCCAGCTTGCTGCTGTGTGCATAAGATGCATTGGGTTGATTGCGATCATGCCGGCTTCCGATGCTTCAAGAAAGCAAGAGGAGCTTAATACCCTCAACCCGAAACTTGACCACAAACCCTAAAACCATCTTAAACCTAAGCAGCAAAGCCAAACTAAACCACAAACCCAAAGTCCAAATCCACACGCCCGAAACCCGAGGCCCTTTGGCTTCCGATGTTGCAAGAGGTGCTCAGATGTCGGCTTTTGCTCTGACAGGCTGACCCAGATATCCTGCAAGGCTTATGCGGATGTTATGGGTTTAGGGGTTGAGAAATTTGGGGCTGAGGCACGACAGGATTTAGAATTTAGGGGCGTTTAGGATTACGAGTGAGGAATTGCGGCTTACCTCTACTCTCGCGTTAACCAATAGGAACTATAATCAGTACCTAGACCCCCCAAAGTAGGTAGAACAATGGCCCAAAAGCTATAAAAGGCTATTATTCTACATACTTTTGGGGTCCAGGTAGGGTGGATGTTCTGATGGACGCAAATTCCAGCTTCCCTGTCCGATGCTTTCCTGCAGGAACAAATTATGGTCCCTTCTTGGGTTTCTATTTTAATACGGCACCTAATAATTTAGGGTACCCAAAAAGGGACCCTAATTTTAACAACTACCCATATGATGAACAGCCTCAAAAGCTCAATCAACTCTACTTGAGGCTTGTGGTTTGCGGCAATGTCCAGGGCTTTGTCCAAAGATCCCTTGCTTAGAGGGCCTTCCAGGACGGGCAAGTTATGAGATGTCTTTGCATAGTAGCTAACCGGAAGGCACCATGTCAAACAACAAATTCGAAAGTCCCCAACCGTAGTGCTAGCGACTGAAGATATTTCAGCTTTGTGCCGTAGGCATTAAGGTTTTGAGGCATTTCGGGCTTGCCGTAATTAAATAGTGCAAACCGTACGTCAATCTCACACATAGGGTCCTCGTCATTGCAGAGCTGTCCGATGCTGGAAGCAAGCCTTCGCTGTCCAGCTCAAGGGCCCGAAACATAGCTAGAATCTCACGTAGCATGATCCGGGAAAATTTGACGTTTACCACTTCTGCTGAACAGCAGCGCTGTGCATCATGTTCATAACAGCATGCACTTCTGCTGCCAAGAAGCTCTTCCAGGAGCCGTCCCTTGCCCGGCATCAACGGGATGATCCGCCTGGAAGCGGTAGGGTACAAGTATCGCTAAACTCCAGGGATTTGTGCTATAGGTGTCGGTTTCAGCAGTCCGCAACATCATTTGTAATCAGGGCTCTATTATATTAAGCAATAAGGGAAGTTCACAACTATCCCAAACCGATACCTGGCATGGGGTTTATAGGGCTTACATGGCTGGGAAACTCCAGACTCCAGACTCAAGGCCTCAGGGTGTCTTGTAGCTTGTTTGGCTTGCTGTGGGCTTGCATTGAAGATAGCAGTGACGATCTGACGTGCTGAACCTGCAGCTTGAGAGCCATGAACCCCTCGAATTCAATTCATAGGACTTGCGGTTGACGGGGTTCGGGATTCAAGCATTCACCAGGGTCACCATTTTCGAAACTGCCAACCTGCAGGGCTCTCACCGTCGAAACGGTAGTCAGGGGACTTTACTTGCTCACACTTCGAAAGACGGTTGAGAGCCCCGTGACCCTTTTCCTCAACAACATAGCTTTGGATAAATGTAGGGGTCTGAAGAAATAGAACAGGGTTTTGGGACTATACAGACCCAAGAATAAGCTCGGCAGTGAGCTTGTAAACTTGAACATGAAAAGCTCAGCTGCGCACAGCAGCTGGAGCAACTCGCTCACCACTCCGGACTTCTTCAGCGCGAACCTGTGAGCTGTGGACCTTCCAGTGCGGCGGTCTTTTAAAAAAGCATAGGCTGTTTAGGGTTTTAAAGATACCTATGGCTGTTGTCGACAAAATTTACGAGCTGATGTTCTCATCGATCACTCAGTGTACGGGCCCGACATATGTCAGCGACGGCAGCTCGAACAAGCAACAAAAGCTAAGGGAAGAGGTACTGCACCGCGGTACAGTACTCCGCTTTGCGTCACGATGGCAAACTACCCGGAAATGTGTGCTGGCTACGCTAGGCTCCGCGAAACTGAGACCCTAAACCACATGATTTTCCTTGTGAGGCTGGGGGGATCACCGAAGTCCTCCTAAACTCCACGCTGAAGGGGTGTTAGGACTTTGTATATGGTCCGGCAATGTCTAATGATTAGGTCAGGCAATGCCAGGGTAAAGGGTTGAGAGTGCTGAGGTCGCGCCTATTTGCTTTTGTTGATGAAGTGTCAAAGTTGATTTTCAAACGACGCTATACAGTCCATGAGGAAGCCAATTGAAAAAAGCGACGCCACCTTGGAGAAAGTCATGCAAGCCAAGTCCTGTGTACATACATGTGTGCGTGTGTACTTGTACATATATACATATATTCATATACATACACACATGCATGCTTTTTACCATGGACCACATACATATGCAGATATGCATACACACTTGTGGCTGTGTATAATATAAATAAATATATATATATACACACATACACACACACATGTGCATACTAACTTTGGACACACTTAGTGTTGATGTGCGTCTCGCTCAAAACTCCCCTTTTAGACAGAGGTTTGGCGTGCGGGGTTTCGGACTATGCTAGGCAAGGTTTGCTTTGAGGAGTATTCAGGTACAGAGCCGCACTATCAGCCTCCTCCAAAGCGTTTCAAGCATTGCCTGTAAAGTTGTAACCAATAGTCGAGGATATCGATACGAGGTATTGGGCTTCAAGAGCTCATGTCTATTATTGGGCCCGCTAAACCCTAAACACTACGAACCTTCAGACATTCCCTCAACCATATAAAGTTGGAACATCATTATCCTCATGTCCTTAAGGCAAAGTATAAGGGATCCGAGCACTAATCCTCCTAAAGCCACGTTCCAACTTTCTGGCTTCTACTGTAAACCCAAAGCCCAAAGGCTCCATGTGCCCATATAGTAGATACTTAGGCCTTAAAGGGGTCGGCCTATATAGGTACTTTAAGGCCTAAAGTATATACTATATGGGCACATGGAGCCTTAGGGAAGCTGTTCGGAACTCTGAGGCGCAAGAGGATCTTGGTTTAGCAAACCCAGAGACTCCAATGTGCCTTAATTAAGGAATAGGGTTTAGGGTTTACCTTAAATCCAAAGACTCCAATGTCCCCGGGTTTAGGGGTTCAAGGGGATAGGGGTGTTGGGGTTTAGGGGTGTAGGGGTTTATGGGTTAGGGGGTTTCTAAGTAAGGAGTAGGATCCCTAATATGATTTAAGGTATTTTCCAAAAATAGGGGATATTGGAGTCTCTGGGAATCTCACGGCCTGAAGAGTTGAAACCGCGTTTTAATGCAGGAACCTGATTAAGAAACCTTGGGCCCTTATCAAGGTTCCTTTTATGAATCCGACTATTTTGGGGTTAGGGTTAGAGGCCGCAGGTTTCTTAATCAGGTTCCTACATTACCTATAGTCTCCATTCCAGTTCCCTTTTTGGTTAACCAATTTTGTGCAGCTCAGAACACAGTGCTTGACTTTACATCCAAACTTTATGTAGGTCCGGTTGTACGCTGGCCAAATTTCGCAGTTCAATTAGCGCCTGAGCCTCATGTACAGTTGCGAATACATGTCCACCGGGTTACGTACAGGGCCACACTTTCTGGGACCTTGTTGCAATTGCCGCACAATGTGCCACAAACTAAACCCTGAAACCTGAGCCTGACCCAACACCGTAAACCTTAACCCTCTACCGTCAAATCCTAAACTCTAAACCCTACACAGGTAACTCTAGATCTTGAACCACACAATTAGGGACCAAAGGAACCGAGATTTAGGTACTTGGGTGTAGGATAGTGGCAATGCAAGATAGTACTTGGGGGGACTATGTACTAAGCATGTGCCTGCACCCTGAATCACATCCAAAAAACCCGAATTCGAAGCAGTCAACCCTGCCCAGAGGCCCCAGAGTAGTTCCTTTTTGGGATTACCTTCTAGGATTCTATATACGAGCCTCAAAAAAAGGAACTACTTTTGGGCCTTCGGGTACCCTGGAGTTCTGATCTCTTCCTGCGCACCCTGAAATAGTGCTGCTGGGGCTGTGGCTTCGTCAGATTTGTAATCAACATCAGCGTGTAGTAGATCCTGAAAATCTCTTCGAGGCGCCAACTACCCTAAGGTCCCAAAGTAGTTCCTTTTTGGGGTTACCTTATAGGATTCTATATACGAAGCCCAAAAAGGAACTACTTTGGGGGTTGTCCTAGAGTCCTGGGAGTAGACCCCACCATAAGTTCGTTCAGACTACAATAATACACAAGAGAAGTACCGAAGCGTGCGCGCTCTGTCCACTGTCGTACTCCTTGCTGTGGGAGTCTGCGGCATATACCCTGAGTGCCCATAACCACGCCTCCGGATCACAAAACAGCCATATGTTAGAAGCTGCCCCCACCCTGTAATAGTGGTATAATAGGAATATAATAGGGCCCTAATATAATCCTTAGAGTCACTATTACAGGGTGGGGGCAGCTTCTAAGCCATATGGGAGTTTCCGAACATCGGGGACCCCAAGATGATACCCTAAATAGTAGGATCCTTATTACAAGGACCCCCAAAAAAGTTACCCCTTAATTTTCGGAAACTCCCATATGGCCCATGTTTTTGCGCAGCCCGGACTTTACTTGGGGGGTCGGGGGACTTAGTAAGTAGTTAGTAAGTAGACTTATAAGTACCCTACAAGGGACCCTAATTGGGGTTATGGTACTTATAAGTCCCTAAAATAACCAGTTACTAAGTCCCCTAGACCCTAAACCCTTACAGAATCCCTATAGATCCCTTTAAAGGGGCCCTTAAGGAACCCCTTAGAGTTACTAAGTCCCCCGACCCTCCAAGTAGACCTCAGAGTCGTTGCTACACTCACGCGCTTGCACCCAGAGAACCCAATACCCCTTAATTAAGGGATATGCCTTAAGTTATAGAGGCTTAGGATTTAGGGTTTAGGGTTTAGTATCAGGATAATTCAGGAGTATGCCTTAAAATCATCAAACTAAGGGCCCTATAATTTCAGGTATGTTCCTTACTTCCCTTATGGAACCCTTATAGATCCCTTTAAGGAACCCTTTAAGGAACCCTAAGACTTGAGGAATATTCCTTCGTTAAAGGGTATATTGGGTTCTTGGGGGCAGCCTCAAGGTTGCTAAAAGTAATCTTGGGGGCCCTGAAGACATTTTAGAATAGCGTGTTCCCTAAACTCCTAAACCCTAAACCCCTAAACTCTAAACCCTATATAAGGGGACCAGATCCCACTTCTTTGGTTGGATCAGGTGCTTGGCGTTGTAGAGGTTTTCAGGGTCAAGCTGACTGGCCTTTGAAGCTTCATGCGGCCAAACTCTGGACTACTATAGCGGCCTTAATGCTTAGAATAGGGTTTGGGGGGGTATGTTTAAGGAACCCCCACACTAGTGTAGGCAATTATTCAGGCCTCTATACTAGTGGCATTCAGGCCCTCGGGTTCCCGGCTGTTAGCTTGCAGAAGTACACCGTGCTTGTTAGGAAGAGATCCCAACATCCCAATTAAGGCATATGCCTTAAATCAGAATATGAAGGCCCCTATTATTTAAGGTATACTCCTGGGGTATTGAGTTCTGTGGGTAGCCACTGGTACATTGAAGACGTGCTCTTTCAGCCCAGGCTACCTCACTTTCAGGTCCTGCCGGGTCCAGGTGAGTGGGGCTTCAATAGGGTCTAGGGTTTAGGGTTTAGGAACCCTAAACTGTATTTCTTGGGTAGTACTTGGAGGTTCATGGGTAGTTAAAGTGGAATTATAAGTAGGGCAACTGTACTGATAACCCATATTAAGGGGACTTATAAACCCTACTTAGAACTGCCCATGAACCTCCAAGTAAGGGTCCTTTCTACTGGCGCGATGTGCCGATATCGAGGTCCGACCTATCTATAAAAATCTAAACCCTGAATCCCCAAACCCCTAAACCCTAAACCCTAAACCCTAAACCCTAAATCCTAAACCCTAAACCCTAAACCCTAAACCCTGAACCCCCAAACCCCTAAACCCTAAACCCTAAGTTACGACTCTGAGCCCGAAGTGTGGAATCCGAGAGACTTGCAAGGTTTATAGAAGGATTCTTAAAGGGGTCCTCGAAAGCTCGATGATGGTTCTCTGAGTTGTCCTTTAAGCCCTTTGAAAATTATCTACTATTATGGTTCTCTATAGCATAGTAGGGGAAATTAAAAAAGATCCCAAAGGACAACCCGGTTCTTTAACGGCGCTATAAGGAACTCTACACTAGGACTCGTAAGTGGTCCTGTAGCGCATCATTTAGCAGCTGTTCTGCATGAAATGTGCAAAACTCTGAACCCGCCTATATCACCCCAACAACCTTAGAACGCCCTGGCTCAGAGCCCTGCAAGTCGTCATCTTTGATTCCCAGGTTCTCGGCCAGAATGGCAGGTGCCTTGCCCGAAAAATGTCAGGATACGGCTGATGATATAAATCCAGCATTCCCTTAATGGCCCTAGACTATGGGGTTTATGGTATATTACTTATTATGGGTAATGCAGGATTCAAGTTGTCATCAGCCGTACTCCGTGCCCGGACACTTCTAAGGACGCAGACCGGGACTGGCATGCCACTCCCAAGGGCTCCAGCTACCTAAACAGTAATTAGTGGCTTACTAATTATGAAGACTTAGAAATGGATCAATAAATAAACAAGCAGATATACATAATCTCTATATATATATATATATATATATGTACACATGTTTTGCAATTAACCCCTGATCCCACTACGTAGGTATCATGAGCCCTGCGGAATGACAGAAAGTCTGCCATGGAAATCTCTCTGACAGAAACCGTAGGAACGAGACAGGAGCCACATGCTTGCGAATGACAGAAATTCTTGATGGTTCGGACTCCTATTTTAAGGTTCGGACTGCTATTTTAGGGTTCGGACTATTTTGGGGTTCGAGCATTTGCACGCCGTTCTGCAACTCCAAGACGCAAGCCACAATCGGAGCTAGCTTGAATGAGCAAGCTTGTCCTTCTACCTGCGTGCACAAGCTGTTGGCAGGCAAGAAAGCAAACGGACGGTCTGCCTCTAGATGATCATGCCGGAGTGGGTGTTGAGCACTGCCCACGACGATTATTTCGTATTCGGACTTGCCACGTACATGCCTGAACCTCCAAGCCCGAACCCTATGCTAATTGTTAAAGTCCCCGCATGTTGGTACCCTATTGTAGATCCTTTAGGTAACCCCTTAAAAGAACCCTATCTTTTAAGCTGAGCCCATGGCATCCATGCTGAGGACCATTTCCTTCACTGGCCTCGGGGCGGCTTTGTTCTGCTTGGAGCTTCGTAGCCACGTTTACTACCCCAATAAGCCAGAGAAATTTAAATAAAAGGTTAAACTTCGGAATCCCTCTAAACTACAAGAACCCAAAAAGTTTGAAGGTCGGGTATTGGAGATCTAAGCAATTCGAGAGCATTCTAACTTTGTCGTTTAGGGTAGGGCTTGCAGGTTGTAGGGTTTAGGGTTTCGGGGCGATCCGGGCCAGCCCAACAGCCGGCTTTTTGCTGCAACACGGTAACACGCAATCGAAGAGCGAAATAGGTGGTTGTCAAAATGATGGTCCCTTTTTGGGTCCTTACTATACGGCACCGAATATTTTGAGTACCCAATAAGGGGCCATAATTTTGACAACTAATTACCCAAATAGCTGCATCGGCGGAGCCGGGTGCTGCGGACACCACAACCTTTTGAAACTTTTGGATACCCCTAAGGCCCCCAAGTAGTTCCTTTTTGGGGTTCGCATATAGAATCCTATAAAGTACTCCCAAAAAGGAACTACTTTGGGGCCTATGGGTAGTCATGACCTCAAAGACTTCATAGCGTAATGCCGTTTCGTTCCGGCAGGCCCTGCATACATCACTGAAATACCCTGAGCCCCTGAGACACGCAAGTCTGTAACCTCCTTGTCCTATATACATCCCTTGCGCCCTGCATCCAAATGCCCTCTGCCCTGAAGCTTAAACTCAAACTCAGAAGCAAGTACTCAAAACCAAAGCTCCCACAATAGGATCTAAAGTACCCATATGACAGGTGAAACCTACATACGAACCATAGTAATGGCAACTCCTAGTGTAGAAATCCTTCTTTCCTACGTAGGACCCCTGGGTGTTCTTCAGTCACCCCCTGAGTCTCCATGTACCTACTGTTCATGATATAAATCCTGCATTACCTCAAGGACCGAAAACTATGGGAATTATGGTATACTCCTTATTATGGGTAGTGCAGGATTCCTATCATCAACTGTATGAAGTATATACTTAGACCTTCAGGGCTTCCTATATAGATACTTTAGGGTCTAAGGGGCTTCTCTATAGATACTTTAAGGTTCGGGGTTATAGATACTTTAAGGTCTATGTAATATGCCCTAAAGCCTCTATAAACTCTAACCCCTGCCTTAACCCCGGGTAACCTACCTTTTTAAGGACTTATATGAAGAAATCATAATACGGAGCCCGAAAAAGGTAGGTTTTTCAGGGTTAAGGTGAGGCCCCAAGACTCCCTTCGGGAAAGCAGAGGGCGGCTCTCGTGCCGCCGAACGATGTTGACCAAGGTCACCGTGGCATAGGCCTTCAAGTGGATGTTGCGCCTGCAGCGGGTTGCGGCTTGGGGTTTACGGCACAAACATGTGTGTATATATACATATAGGTAGACAGATCGAGAAAGAAATAGATGGATAGATTAGTTATCAGACAAATACAACCAATTTAAGAACTATGATTGTAGTATCGTAACAACATTAGCAACAATAGAAGTGCTAATGGCAATAGCGATGATAATAATAATAATAATAATAATAATAATGGCAATAACAATAACAATACTAGAATTAGTAACAGTCATGATTATTACCACTCTGCTTGTTGTATGACTAGTGGGTATTCTTAGTATAGTTCGAGTTATTGCTATTACTATAACTATTGGTATTAGCATTGCATTACTATTGCTAAGACTACCATAGCTCTTAAATTATGGGTGTTACTATTCAAGGTACTATATATATATATATATATATATATATATATATACACGTCTATACATACCTACCTACATACATACCTACATACATACATACATACATACCTTAAATAACCAAAATATATAAACATAAATAAGTGTGTGTATATGTATATATGTATATCTATATATGTTATTGTTACTGGACGAGGCCTGAAGCTAGACCCGCAAGCTTCCAGTAGAGATTACGATTTGGGGCTTGAGGTTTCGAATTCTGGTGTTCCTAAACGCCTCAACCTTTCAAGCGGGGATTGGTTTCGGTTTGCTTTGGTGGCTGAGGGTCCGAGGCGATCGAAGCCAGAACCCCCTAAACCCTAAACTCCTGCACCCTAAACCCCCTAAACCCTAAACCCCCTAAACCCTAAACCCCTAAACCCAACTTAGGAAAGCTTGAAGCTGCCAGCTGTAGACTTTGGCTCAGCCTAACCATCGACCTCCGAACCCCCCCAACCCTGAAACCAAGTCCTTCAAGCTAGGGGCCTCAATAATTAGAATAGGGCTTCGGGGCCCTTATATATATATATATATATATATATATATATTTTTATTTATATTTAATAAGGAACCGGCCAAAATAGTATAGGTGATTATTAAAGCCACTGTATTAGAGCTGGGCATCCTGATGCTGACGCTGAGGGAGCGACTGTTGGAGGGAAGACAGGATTGCCGGCACCTGGGAAGTGCAAGCACTTGTGCTGGCTCCCTGCCGATCTTTGCACTATGACACCCCTCTCTTTCTGCAACCGTCGATGTGCGCCATCTTCAAAGTAGTCTTTGCTATACTCTCCTGCGAGGACCCTTCTTGGGGGGTCGGGGGACTTAGTAAGTAGTTAGTAAATAACTTACAAGTACCCTAGAAGGGACCCTAATTGGGTTATGGTACTTATAAGTCCTTAAAATAACCAGTTACTAAGTCCCCCGACCCTCCAAGTAAAGAAACACCCCTAAGCCCTAAACATCGACTTGCGCCTAAACCCTAAACCCTGAACCCTGGACCGATTCCAGTGACATCCGACGCCCTGAAAGCCCGCTGCCAGAGCTTCCAGATGCATCGGTCCCGAACCTGCCCGAAAGCACCGGAGTAATGTAGGGGCCTTAATAAATAGAATAGGGTTCCTTTAAAAGGATCCTTAAAGGGGGGTCTATAAGGATACTATAATGTAGGGGCCTTAATAAATAGAATAGGGTTTTGGGGTATATGATACGAGAATCAGCATAAGGAAACCCCACGATAGTAAGTATTGGCAACTATTTAGGCCCCTAGAGTGTCTAGCTGTTTTTTTCGCTGTCTCGCTACAGTACTATTGTGGCGTTTATCAGTATGGCTTTTCTTCTCAATATTATTACTACTACTATTGTTGTTGCTATTATAACTATTGTTACTATTCTTACTATTGTTGGTACAACTACTGTGTTCAGTATGAATGCGAAACTATTCGTAGTTTTGCTGTTATTGAGATAATCGTTTTTACCGTTTTGCCACTGTGAACAATAATTCACGCTACATACAATACACATGACAAGTAGTAAAGGGTATAGCGCATTAAGACATGAAGAATAACCACAACAATCATAAGTTTAATCACGAAAATAGCACATATACGCAAGATTGTTCTTCGTGGCTTAGGTCGTGTAGGCCTCAGGACTGAGGCTATTTGTGGGAGTTGCAGGATCTACTGGGTTCTAGCTTTGAGCTTCTAACAGTATTTATGAATAGATACCTCTATAGCCACCGTAAATGACCATACAGGGAAATTAGCAAGCTTCCCAAGGTGCCACCTAATCTATATTTTCGTGGGGTAGGGCATAGTCATTTGGTAGTATTGCGCATGCTGGAAATCCTGCAACGACGGTTGGCTATGGCAGTATAAGGTAAAGTTTGAGGGTCCCAACCTTTTCGCAGTTTAGGCGTTACGAAGTTCAAGCTGTAGGATTTGTAGGCTTAGGGGCCAAAGGTTGAAGTCTTCGTGAGACTTCGTTTGAGAAGCTGCCCTGTCCAGTTACTAGGGGATGACAATCCAATTCGAGGTCTTGCATTGCATAAGTGAGGTGCCTGGGGCTTTAGCGGTTTTAGGGTCTAGCACTTCGGGCTTTGAACGTCACTCAGTGCTCTTTCGGGATGAAGGTGTTCAGGGCTTGGGGCTGGTAGGGCATCAAGGACTCGGTCTTCAAATAAGCATCAAGACAAACGGGGTTTCGAGGCAGAGGCGCGCATACTGTGAGTCCTGAAACGCCACTGAATCCTCAACTCTCCACTCCAAGCATGCCTCGACCGTAACCACCGAAGTCAACGTCCTAGACGTTTATCAAGAATTCCACAAAAAGGCCTGCGAAACTCTGAACAAACAATCCGAAGGTCTCATGGACCCTCACAGCCAATGCAGCGGCCTTAAGAATCTAAGAATGAGAACAGGGTCTTATATAAACCTAAACCCTAACCCAGACAAACCTTAAATCCTAGACCCTCTTGAGGAACACTACAATGGAGACTATAGATAGGGCCCTCAAACCTTAAACCCTTAGATCTGTGGCCCTGGCAGGAGGCGATAACTGTGCGACAGATCGCTGCCTTTCGGCTTCAGGCATTCGTTGGCAGCCCACCACCGTTCTTTTTGTAAGCCGAGCGCAGGTTTGCTTTTGTGGATTTCGTCAACTTAACCGAAGGTCATGGGCTTTAGGCTCTTGAGGTCTGGGGATAAAGGCCCGGTTTTTTGTGGCTGAGGAGTCAGGATTTAGTGCGTAGTAGGGTTGACGAAAGACAGCAGTGGGCAAAAGACTGACAAGAACAGTAGCAGCGACAACAAGAGGAACAGCAGCAAAAAGCGAACCACCCAACCCTAAACATCACAAGCAAGGGTCCACGGTCACCAGGTGCCAAGCGCAAGACCAGTGGCCTGTGCCTACAGGCTCCCATTTACAACAAGCAGTTATTGGAATTCAAAGGTTCGGGCTCTTCGGACTCAGGGCGTCGGATCTAAACGCGCAGTCCGTGCTCCTTCAATTCATATCATCCTTATAGCGGCTACCTGCACTCGGATCCCTAAATTCTGAAGCCCTCCCCAGGAAAGGCTTCAGGCTCTGTGCCGCTGGCTCCCAAACACCCTACAAGAACCTGTAGAACCTGATGCACTCTCCGCAAAAATCCGCAAAAACCCAAACCTAAAGCTTTCCTTTGGGGCTCCTTTCAGGGTACTGACGTATGTATATATATATATATATACATGTATATACATACATGTAGATAGGTACTAGAAAGGTACCATAAGGGTACTGTACTGTGAGGCTGCTGAGGGCTGCAGGCTCTACAAAATCACGAGCCACGCCTTGAGGATGTAACGTTTTGGGATAGTACCCTAAATAGTAGGATCCTCGTTATAAGGACCCCAGTAAAAGGTACCCCCAGTTTTCGGAAACTCCCATGTTGGGGGGAGCTAAGAAGCCAGGGATGAGGCCTTAATAATTACCCAATACTATCTTGTTAGGGCTTTAGGGCTTTAGGGTTTAAGGGTTTAGGGGTTTAGGGGTTTCGGGGGAGGGGTTTCGGGGTTTAGGGGGGCCTGACGAATTACCATAGTAGCTCCTTTAGGGGGTTCACATTTAGAACCCTCTAAGCTAATCCCCAAAAGGAACTACTATGGACCCTGTGGGTAGGCACTGCAGCAAGGCCCTCTTCCTCAACAGCCGGGCCCAAAAGAGTTTAGGGTTTAGGGTTTAGGGTTTAGGGTGATAGAGCTAATATATTAGGCCAGAAAGTTTAAAGTTCCCCCGTTCACTATCTGAGTGGGGGCCTGAAGAAGTACCCATACTATACTGTCAGGGTTCAGGGGTTTTAGGGTTTAATTTAGGGGTTTAGAATTTGAGGTTTGGGGGGCTCCTTATCTAACTAGTGGTTTTTTGGTGGTTCCCTTGGCTCTTTAGCTCCTTATCTTATGGGGATTATCACCATTCCTGGATTAAGGAATATACCTTAAATAATAGAGGCATTGATATGATGATTTAAAGTATATTCCTTAATTGAGGGACTCTAGAATCCCCTAAATCCTATAGATCCCTTAAAGGAACCCTTTAGATCCCTTTAAGGAACCCTAAGGTATATTCCTTAACTAAGGGGTATTGGGATCTCTGGGTATCCATGGTTAGTTGTTATACCGCGAAACCCTCTTCTGGTCGTTCAATCCCCTCTAGGATGCCCAGTAACCTAGGAATACAAAGGTTACCCTTTTTGGTATTGGGTAACTTTATAAGGAACCTAGGACTACAAAAAATGAAATAAGGGTACTACTGGGCATCCTACTGTTGATGATATAAATCCTGCATTAACCTAAGGACCCTAAACCATGGGAATTATGGTACATTCCTTCTGAGGGGTAATGCAGGATTTATACCATCAACCGTAGTTAAAGCCCCTTTCTTCGGGCTCTGTGCCTTGAGATCGACGGAAGATGAGGGGGACACCAGCAGCTTCGCAAGAAATTGGGAGAACTCCCAACTGAGCTTCTCCTGAAGGGCAACTGGGCTTTGGGGTTTCGGGTTTAGGCTTTGAAGTAACCAGGGAGAAAAAGCCCGTATTTTCATTTCAGAATGCTTCCGACTCCTTTAGGAGCAGTCTCAAAAAGGCTATAAACATATGGTACACCAACCCCAGAGGTTTGGTCAGGGCTTCGGGGGTTTAGGGCTGCTTGAAGGTTTTACGGGTTTGAGGTTAGGGTTTGGATTCACGGTTTCTAGGCTTTGAAACGTGAGGCTGTAAACGCGCTTCCGGTGCGTGAGGATTCTCGAAAATAGGGGTACCTTATTTGGGGTCCTTATAATAGGATTTAGGGTACTATGTTAGGGTCGTACCTTATTTGGGGTCCTTACAATAGGAATCCTACCTGGGAATTTCTTTCGATTCTCCGGCCTGGGGCTTGTCCCGAGCTTTTCCTGCTGAGCCCCATGCCCGCCACTACCCCAAAGCCTGAGCATGCCTAAACCATTGCCTAGGCCTAGACCACGGAGTATGCTACGGCTCCAAGCACTGAAACCCTAGGCCCTAACTTGCTAAAGCCCTCCCCATTCAACAGCTCATGGCTCACCGAGCCGTAACGAACCCAACCGGTGGGAACCGAGAAACCGATCTATGCCGCAAACCGAACCGGAACTGCAGGCACATCTAAACCCTTGACAATAAACTTACGGCTCAGAGGCTCAGCTATTGAAATATCCGGACTTGTTTAAACAGCCGAACAGGATTTAAAACTAAAAGAGCCCAAACTCTGTGACTGTAGCCTGATGCTTTCAGCGGACGGTACGATCTATGGAATCCACAGCGGACTTGTCAATCCTTCGACACTAATCCCTACTGAGGGCTGGGTTCTGCGATTTAGGTTTTAGGATTGGCTTATGGGTTCAGGGGTTTAGGATGTAGGCGGATCAGGATTCAGGGTTCAAGTTTCTGTTTCGGGGTTCAGGGTTCGGGATTTAGGGTTACAGGGTTTAGGGTGCGGGATCTGGCGCTGGAGATATCAGCTCCAGCTTTCCGGGTTTAGGGTTTGTCTTTCGGGGTTTGGGTTGAGGATTTAGGGTTCAGTATCGATGGGAGGCTGCGATTCGGCTTCTGGTTGGTGTCTTTACCGTCAGACTTCAAGCAAACAACTAGCCCTACTTCGGGGCCTACAGTCTATGAATAGTGCCTACATCTTTTGGGCTATCTGGACGCTTGGGGTTACAGCGCACGCCCATGCATAAGCCCTGAACCCTACACCATGAATCCTAAACCCTACAAGCCCCGGACACATCTGAACACCCTAGAATGGAGCCCACACCAACCTACAAGCCCTATGTAGCCTATGGACATCTAACACCCTGATTACAACCCCTACTACAGGCCCTAAATCCAAAACCCTACCCCCCTAATTGTGCTGCAGATTCTTCCAAGACCCCCTTACAGTCACTATCTGAAACCCTAGTCTCCCACCCAAAATCCCGGAACCCTTACGCCTTTCAGGCTCTGAGTGCCTCCTCCTTCGGCGGCTTCAGCTGCTTTGCCAGCCAGCCACACTCCAGTAAGGCCCTCAGTTTCGGGTGCATTTAGAGTCGCACTTCTCAAATACCCATGGGGAAAAAAGGTCAAGCTTTCAGAAAAAGACTACCTTATTAAGAGGCCGAGGGCTGAAAAGTGTGTGGGTTTAGGATTTAGAGAAAGTTTCAGGCGAGGCAAAATCCCGGTTGGAGGGATGGTTTCACGACAGTGGTAGCATTATTCACCGCAGCACCATCGCGGCCATCAGCATGGCGATGCACATTGGTAGTCATCACCGACAACAGTCCCCTCTTCATAAGCAACAACATCCATCATAGTCATCATTCTCATCGCCATCACCAACATAATCCCAGACATATCTGCCATCATCAATGATGATGGCGAGCATGAGCATCATCATGCACACCACCACCAACGCCACCGCCGCCGCTGCCACCGCCGCTGCCACCGCCGCCACCACCGCCGCCACCACCACCACCACCACCACCACCACCACCACCACCACCACCACCACCACAGCAAGAAACAGCTTCCGTGCCTGCACTCACCAGGCTCTGTGACACTCTGAGGGTACGACTGCATGGCCTTGGCTCCAGGGTTTGGGGTTTAGTTCGGGGTTAGGGGGTCGGGGCTGATGTAGGCTTTTCAGGGATAAAATAAAAGCCTCTTCTAGAGTCTTTATTCTTAAAGGCTCACAAGCAAAGGTGAAATTGTTGAGGAGGTCTCGAATGAATCGACGCGGGGGTTTGAGATGAAGCTAGGTTGAGGGTGTAAGGGTTTGGAACTCATAAGTGTGGGGTGTGGAGGCCCAGGTTGTAAGGTTAAGGTTCGAACGGCTGAATTTTGCCGAGCCCAATTGGGCCCTGGTCCAGAAGCCCCCCAATGATTCCCAAAGGATTGTATCACCGTTGCAAGAAGGACACTAATCGAGGGAGCCCTGATGTAGCGCACATACCCAGACGCGCAGAAGTCATCTTCAAAGCACCAGCCCGAAGGTTCAGGTGAGTTAGGGTTTAGGGTCGAGGGTAGATCACCGGAAGAAGACACAGCAATCTTGATTGGTCAATTTCTCGACAAACAGAATCCCGCATTGATAAATTCCAGTTCCACAACCCTGAGCCACAGAGCGCCAAAGGCGACATCACAGAGCCTCATGCAACCCCGACCACTAAACTCGAAATCTAGAGCCTCAAGACGGAACGGACCAATCGCTGAATCAGAACTGCCCGAAACCCCTGCAAATCTTGTAGAAACACAAATTAGATATAAACAAATGCTTGTGGAACCCTTAGCAAGACCTGGGTACACTGTTTGCAGAAACAACACACCAAGACCGACAGCCAGCGATCAGGCACCGAGGGCCTAGCATGGTCGTTGAACTCGTACTCCTCGAAGAAGTCCTGGGTTAGGGTAGCAAGGGAGCTTTACTATGAGATATGGGTGTAGTTGCTTGGGTTTAAAGTTTAGGGTTTATGTTGCAAGGGAGTCTTTATAAGAGTTGAGACCATGGCCCGCGGAGCGAGCTAAAGGGCTAGAACTGCCGCTTTCTGGCACGTCCGGGCCCAGAATACTGTAAGTATTGCAAAACGGAACATATAAAATCTGATATTATCAAGTCGGATTAGGGTTCAGGGTTTAGGAGACACAGCATGTTTTTGTTTGGTCTCGGTCCTACGACCCTCCGTTTGCCAGTCTCGGACGTGCTTGCGGAGCTGGGCTCGCGCCTGACATGTTTCAGGGGGTCCTGCCCACTAGTTCTTAGAATCTAGGGGTACCTAATTTTGGGGTCCGTATAATAAGGATCCTACTATCTAGGGTACTATATTAGGGTCCCCTAATTTTCGGAACCCTCCATATGCTTATCAAAACCCAACTCCGGAAGTGGTTTGATTTCGTGGGGTTCATACTTCTTCTGTTGTGCATTCGCATGCCTCAGTGCAACCACAATTCGCGAATGCCTCGTTCAAATATGCAGGATCTAAACCCTAGGATCCCGCGAATTCCCATGTCTTGACACGAGCATACACATACTTCCTATATTTTCCATTGTAGTTCCGTTGTGGGTTAACCAACGTTATGGTTCGGATCTGCAATCCAAATCTGGTTAAACCAAAAAGGGAACTACAATGGAGACTCTAGGTATGAATCCTGAAAGCTTACACGCCCTACAAATACCGAACGCAGGAGCTGATTGCTTAAACCATCCAGTCCCTAACTGACCAATGCTCCCTTTGAGGGTCCATGTACTCATTTAGTAATTACATGCATTGAGATTGGCCTTCAAGTACTTCTTTTATGGGTACTTCAGGGCCAGAGTATATACTATTTGGGTACATGGACCCTTAAACCCTAAACCTTCATCGAACCCTTATAGAACCCTTGTGGTACCCTTAAATGTACCCTTAAAGGTACCCTTTAAGGTACCCTCTAAGGTACCCTTAACGGGAACCTATTTGGGCACATGGTCTGGCACGTTCCGCACCCGGGCTCCAGGCGGGCTCCAGTAGTAGTTTCTTGATCTCTTTGTTCTCCCAAGGCCTCAGGCTCCGTGGCTACTAGGAGGGGCCTTTGAAAAAATAAGACTAGGGTTTTGGGGCCCGCTATACCATAATGATAATAAGGAGCCCCCAAAATGCTATAGTTATAATAAAGAAGCCCCCAAAATAGTATAATCACAATCAAGAGCACCCCCGAAATAGTATAGTCATACTAAAGAACCCCCAAACGACTATAATTGTAATAAAGAGCCCCTCCAAAATACCATAATGATCGAAAAGAGCCCCCCCCCAAAAAAATACCACGAGCATAATCAAGAACCCCCATAAAGGTTTAGTAGGGTTATTGTAACGGTTTAGGGCTCAGGGATTAAGGTTTATATAAGGTTTAGTAGGGTTTCTGTTTAGATTAGTAAACTTTTTCTGTGTTTAAGTCCACAAGGCTAAACTGAAGATGCCCCGCGGCTTTCGGATGGCAGCAGAGGGCCCAGTCACCTTCATAGCTGGTGCGGGTGCAGTATTATGAGTCGTACCTTTCTGCAGCAATCAATCAAGCAAACCGGTTTAGGGTTTAGGGTTTTAGGGTTTAGGGTTTAGGTTCAATATCCCAGCTTAGGATTGCCCGCTGGCCGGGTGAACGGAGTCTTAAACCCTGAAACCCCGATAGTGAAACCTCGCCTGGCAACTAGAAAAGGTCAGGAGCCTAGAACGCCAGGACCTAGTTAAGACCCTAAAGCCCAAATGGGTGGTTGTGAAAATTATGGTCCCTTTTTGGGTCCCTATTACAATACGGCACCTATATTTTGGGTACCCAAAAAGGGACCCTAGTTTTGACAACTACCCAAATCGTGTCAGGCTTAGGGTAGGGATTCGGTGGAGGAGGTGGCCCGTCGAGAAGCTGGGGCTCAAACCGAGACCAGTCCTCCAAAACAGTTTCTTTAAGTTTTTGAGCTTCGGGTTTAGGGCTCCAGGGTGTCAGGCATTCAAGTCTTCGAGGCTCGAGACTTTGTGGTTTAGGGGCCGTTCAGTGCTGTGTTGGTTCTTCTTGCAGTTGAGTCTTGGGGAGCATTTGGGAGTTTCCGAACAATTGGGGGGACCCTCATATAGTGCCCTAAATAATAGGATCCTGATTACAAGGTTCCCAAATAAGGTACCCCGCCATTTTTCGGAAACTCTCATTTGCAATGCGCTTGGGATGTTGAAGTGCCAAGGTGTTCGGTTTGGAGATCAAGGCGTGGTGTTCAGGGTTTACGGATCTTGGGGTTTGGGTGTTTAGAGTTTAGGGGTTTAGAGTTTAGGGCTTAGGGTTTAGATTTAGGGGTTTAGGGTTTTAGGGTTTTAGGGGTTTAGGGTTTAGGGGTTTAGGATACGTATGGGGTTTAGGGGGTAGTGGGTTTCGGATGCTAGTTGTCGCGTAGAGGGCCTAGCGCTGAATGTTTCCCAAGACCTGACGAGTTGGAATATGGGAGCTTCCGAAAATTAGGGGTACCTTATTTTGGGGTCCTTATAATAAGGATCCTATTATTTAGGGTACCATCTTAGGGTCCCCTGTTTTCGGAAACTCCCATATCGTTTGGAAGCTTAATCGTTCGGGCCCATACTCAACGGCTCTTGAACTTGTCCGGTATCCTAGGGAAGCTGAGGGCTAACCTTTGCGATTGAAGTACCCCGAAAGCCCACAGCATCACCTACTCTGCAACTAGGGGCCAAACCCTTAAACCCTAAACCCTAGACCCCAAACCCTAAACCCTTAAACCCTTAAACCCCTAAATACCCTAAACCCTATATCCTAGACCCTTAAACCCTAAGCCCTAGACCCCACACCCTAAACCCAGGGCTACGAGGGGGCTCGTAGTCTTTGCCATGGGGGATCAGGATGCAGGCTCTTGAGCTCTCGGCTTCAGCCGGACCAGAGACCCTTAAACCTGAAACCCTAAACCCTATACCCTAAATCCCAGATCCCTCAGCCCTGTAGCCTAATACCCTACCCCTTTGTTTAGGATACCTAGTTCTGGTGGTTAGGATGTGCTGTATAGAGAAGTAGATACCCCCAAATTGCGGAAGATGAGCCTACAGGTAAACCCCAAACCCTTATACCCACCTAAACCCTCAAAAAAGGGGTAGGGTATGAGCCTACAGGAAGGGATTTAGACATGTAGCTGACCCCTCCTGAGGGGTCCCGTCCTTCGGAGATTAATGGCCAGGCCAGTAGCCCCTTCATAAATCGAGGTACCCTACAGGGCTTTGCGGCTTTAGGGTGTTAGGGTTAGGAGTTCGGGTTCAGGGTGTACTGGGCTCTTGTTAGGGAACCTAATTCAAGCTACCATAATAGGGGCCTATAGTCAATAAAACGGTTCTCCTTTGGAGTGACTTAAATTAAACTCTTAACACGAACCCCGTAAATCGGGGTAAACTAGTATTTGGTTTTGGTGAGGAGAACCCTGAATAAAAGGGCGAAAGGTAATACTGGAAGAGACCCAAACCCTAAGCCCTAAACCCGTAAACCCTAAACCCCCTAAGCCCCTCAAGCCCTCAACCCTAAACCCCAACCCCTTAAACCCTGAGCCCCTCAAGCCCTAAACCCTAAGCCCAAAACCCCTAAACCCTGAGCCCCTAAGCCCCTCAAGCCCTAAACCCTAAACCCTAATCCCTAAACCCTTTAAACCCCAAACAGAAAACGCCTAAACCCTGAGCCCCTAAGCCCCTCAAGCGCTAAATTGTGGTAATGAGGTCAGCCTTCGGCCTGATGTGGAGCATGAAGAGAAGCACCTCCTGTATAACGGATTGGCTCCTGGCAGGATTGACTTATTACCCCAATAAGCCACAGAAACAGAAGGTTAAACTTTCCTATTCCTGCTAAACTACAAGAACCCCCCCCCCCCAAAAAAAAAAAAGGTTAGGTATTGGTGATCTAAGTCATCTAACTTTAAGAAATATTGGCTGAGGGCTTCAGGGGCGCAGGGCTCTTTGGACTTGGTTTTAAGGGTTTGGGGGGTTCAGGGTTTAGGGGTTCATCGCTCTTCGGACTTTAAGTTTTAGGCTTTAGGGTTTAGGGATGAATCTTCCTGAGCCGAAGCCTTACCTTTGGTTAGTCGGGAATGGAGGAATGGGGTACAATTATAACTACTATTACTACCATTCTTCCAGTCCCTTGACCAAAGGTATGAAGCCCAGAGTTGTTCAAAACCCGAGCATACCCTGAACAGTTGCGAAAGTGCCCTTAAGCTTATGTTGACACCCTGAAGCCCGCCCAGATCTATAGTATCCAGTGTAGTTCTTGTCTTTGTTAACCAGTATTAATTAAAATGGTGTGACTTAGGATCCTACAGTACAGAAATTTGCTCAAACAAGAAAGGGAACTGTAAAGGAGGCCCTAAACCCTTAAACCTACCCAGGTACCTAAAACAAGGTTGGTGCCTGACTTGGTAGATGTCGAGACGAATATGAGCAATAAAAGTTGGGCCGACTCAGGAAACATGAACCGTCAAAACCCTTGACAAACACGATGAAGCCTAGGTCCTGAAACATACAAGACTGTCGAACCAGCTGTGTGGGCTTTCGGGTTTAGGGTGGGCTTTGCCTTGCGGCTCTATCTAATGAGGCACCGAAGCCTGTGATCACGAGAAGCGGCCACGCCGTAAGGGATAAGCTCGACCCGTTCCATACTCCAAACCCTGAAGCCTGAATCCTGAGCTCAAGGCATGAATTATTGTAAATATGTATGTATATATATATATATATACATACAGAGAGAAAGAGAGAGAGAGAGAGAGAGAGAGAGAGAGAGAGAGAGAGACAGAGAGAGAGACAGAGAGAGAGAGAGAGAGAGCGAGAGAGAGAGAAGCCTGAAAAATTACCTATGTTATTCCTTAGGGCCTTGGGGTTCCCTACTAGATTTATACTGCACAGGAACCCAAAACCCTATTCTAACTATCGAGGCCCCTAGAGTGGGCTCGAACAGCAAAAGCCTAAATTAAAGTCCTCAACCCCGAAGTCCCTACTTGGGGGGTCGGGGGACTTAGTGAGTAGTTAGTAAGTAGACTTATAAGTACCCTAAAAGGGACCCTAATTGGGGTTATGGTACTTATAAGTCCCTAAAATAACCAGTTACTAAGTCCCCCGACCCTCCAAGTAATCTATACTGAACTTAGAAACCTAGCAACAATAATAATTTTAGCTGTTTCTTAGGGATTATAATAACAAAACATCAGGAACTATTTCTAAGTACTGTTTCTTAGGGATTATAATAACCAAAACTTAAAAATGTTTCTAAGTACCCCTACGTAATCTGGAAGGCTTGTGCTTTGAGGTCTCGGGCTTGTAGAGCTTTGGCGTATAACCCCGAAGACTAGATCCTAAACTTGTCATCCGAGACCCTCGACCATAAAACGGAATCCCAAGCCAGATTTAGGAATTTACTTGGGGTTTAGGGCTTGCGGTTTTGCAGTCTCCAGAGAACCACAAGGATAGTCTTGCAGGAGTAATAATCAGCCCGTAAGCCTCAAACCTGAATCTTAAATCATGCAGCAACCACCCAGTAAAAGGCAGGATTTGGGGTCTGAGGTTTGGGGCCTGAATGCTCAACCCTAAACCGTAAGGTTTAGGGCTTTGGGCAGCTGGAAGGCTTTGAGCGTGGGGTTCGTGGCTTAGGGAATTGGACTCTTCACGGGAAGTGGCAAGCTGCCGTGCTAGGCCTATACTCTAAACTCTAAACCCTAAGCCCACTGCGCAATCTGAGTCTCAGGCATGCTATCTACAAGAACCGCCTTGCAGATGTGGGACACATCGAATCTTCCTGGTAGGAGCACCTCTGCCGTTTGGAGTTCAGGGTAACCACTCAACACCCCTCAACCCACAACACTCGACTTTACACCCCTCCCTCAACCCAAAACTCTGAACTCAGTTTTGTTGGGGGGAGAACCCTACAAATTTCCCCCAAAAAAACTGTAGGCGGTTAAGGATTTAGGGTTCTGAAAGGGCTCCACACCCGGGATGAAGGTAGCTTGGGGGCTTCCCAAATCTTGATCCCACCTACCTGGTACTATCTTCATCCCTAGGCCCTACTTATGGGTTCACGGGTAGGGTTTAGGGTTTAGGGTTTAGGGTTTAGGGTTTAGGGTTTAGTAGTTGGAAGTGGGGTTATAAGCAGGGTAACCATAATCATAACCCAACATAGGGGACTTATAACGCCACTTATAACCACTCACCCTGAATCCTAAACCCTAAAACTGAAACCCTGAACCCTAGATCCCTCTAGAACCCTTTAGCTGGACCCTTAAAGGAACCCTTATAACTACCCATGGAACCAGCCAGTAAACCCTCTGAAAAGCTTTGCGCCGTGGATTTGAACCCCGAAGCCCCAAAAGCTTGAGGGAAAACTGGTCTTCGGAACCTTGCTCTACCCACTTGGAGGGGGACTTAGTAACTCTAAGGGGTTCCTTAAGGGCCCCTTTAAAGGGATCTATAGGGATTCTGTAAGGGTTTAGGGTCTAGGGGACTTAGTAACTGGTGATTTTAGGGACTTATAAGTACCATAACCCCAATTAGGGTCCCTTTTAGGGTACTTATAAGTCTACTTACTAACTACTTACTAAGTCCCCCGACCACCCCAAGCAGAGGCTCCATAGTAGTTCCTTTTTGGGATTACCTTATAGGGTCCTAAATATGAACCCCAAAAGAAACTACTATGGTGCCTCTGGGTAGATGTAGGTATGGATAGAGACATAGATGTACATAATCGGCGGATACGCAGATATGCTCTTTATTACATATATAATATAATAATAACAATATATATATATATAATGTAATATAAATGTATATATACACGCATGTATATGGGATCTGGGTATGCAAACCCAGAAGCCTCAAGTCCCAAACTCTACTTCGACACCGTCTGTCCTTGAAGCGAAAACCCCAAACAGCCTAACACAATATGTGAAGCGGTTTAGGGTTTAGGGTTTAGGGTTTAGTTTTTGTTTGAGGGCCTTCTTGGGTCCGCATGACAGAATCTGACAGCCTCTATAGGGTTTAGGGTTTAGGGAAACCCTTCAATAGCAATCTAAACCCTAGATCCCGAAGCACATATGGGGTTTCCGAAAATTAGGGGTACCTTATTTTGGGGGTCCTTATAATAAGGATCCTTCTATGTAGGGTACTTTATTTGGGTCCCCCATTTTCGGAAACCCCTAAATCTGTAAGCATCAAGTTGGTTCAATAAGTAGCCACCTTCTCATCTGTGATGCAGAGCTAGAGAGCTGAGCAACCCGGCCCCATCGAGACAGTAGGTGAAGTACTTCGCCACCTGATGTTAATGATCTGGGGTCGAGGATCTTGTTTGTTTCTGGTCTGCTTATTTAGGGTTCAGGGTTCGCAGGTCCATGGTGCTTTGAGAATTGTGTTTGGGGGTTAAAAACTGCGGGGGGCCCTCGTCGAGGGATGACAACCAACCCTTTCAGATTGCATGCTACACGATGCAACCCTGTGAGCACATGTTCATGGCCTTGCCGTTTGGATTGTAGGGTCGCCTCAACTCTCTGCAAGCCCGTACCCTCATCCCCTGAACCCTGAAAGAGGCACCGTTTCCATGATTACGAAAGCATCATGAAGCCGTGCAGATTCACCTCAATGCCCTGATGATCTAGGAGTCGGAATAAGTATATACTACTGCTAGTATCCCCTCATGGTCCCTGTATAGCTCTACTAGATTGGACCCCAAACCCTATTCAAATGGTTACTAGACCCAAGAGTAGCCTAGGAATAAAAAGGGTGCCCTTTTAAGTTTACAAGGGCTTATAAGGGAACCTGAACCCCCCAAAAGGGAATAAGGGCCTACTCTAGGTCCTAGGTTAAGGCCCGAAAATAGAAGCATTTACTGAGCCCGGAGCTCGGGCCAGCCAAGCGTTCTCGGCCTGAGCGGCCTCCCCATCCTCCTGAGAATCGAGCTACTCTGGGTTTAGCGTTTAGGGTTCTTTAAAACACCCTGAAAAATATTTATATATATATACATATATATATATATATACATATAGGGTCCCTCATAAACACATAAAAGGAAAATAGAAAATGTCCCAAAATCCAACCCAGTACTTTGCATCCATGGAAGCCTGCGACACACAACACAATTTTTCAGTTTTTTTGTTACATGCCACAGGAGCCAACAGAGATACATGACGCAGGAGCAAGCAGACATACAAAAAGCAAGCTGGAATCAACCCTGTCCGACGCAACTCTCTACTTCTGCCCCACCCACATTGCAAGCATGAGCGCCGAGTGAATCATGAAAAATACTGACGGCGTCAATAAGCATAACATGATGCTTTGCTTACTAGCACGACCAGGATAAGACGAATGGCTATTTGAGCCTGAACCCTGCGAACTCCAAAGTGTTGTGATTCTCGGATACCCGTCCTCTGCCTCAATCCTTGGCATGCTCCGTGCCACCTGGTGGACTGCCTGGAGTGTTTGAACGAGTGCACCATGTCTCAGCACAAATCGTATTAGTATGAATCTTAGTATTAATGTTAGTATATTAGTAAATAAGTATTAGTAATAGTATTTCTGTTGTTGTGCATATTGCTGGCTGCAGGGGTGGCTGCGGCTTGATCTTCGTACAAGTGCACTTGCAATCGGGTATTTTGGGTTGATATTGACGCTGCTGTTGCTGTTCACGGCAATGGCGCGGTGAGGTCTGTCTCTCTCTCTCTCTCTCCCTCTCTCCCTCTCTCTCTCTCTCTCTCTCTCTCTCTCTCTCTCTCTCTCTCTCTCTCGCTCTCTCTCTCTATCTCTCTCTCTCTCTCTCTCTGCCCCTCCCTCTGCCGTTGATGTGGTAGCGCAGGTGTCGTCACCACTACACTGATGACGCTTCCGATAGCCACGATCAAGATGGCTTTGATCCAGATCATGGTGATGGCCGCGATCATGACACTGATCTCGGACGGTGACGAGCATAAATGCAAACTGATTTCGACGGTTTACGTGCCCGGCAACTACCGTAAACCCTGAAGCCACAAACCTTAAAACGATGAGGCACACTCCTAGACCCAGTGGCCAATACCTCAGAGCCTTCTAATAACTTCAACGGCGCTTGTTGGGGTAGCATACTATTCATAAGCCATATTCTTATTATCTGGTCTGCAATGAACCCTTTCTGGCAAGCTAAGCCGACCTCCTGAGGGGTAACGAAAGCCGGAACGTCCTGGCCGTAGGGCTTTATCCTAAGGGTCCCTGTAGCGCTTGTTTATGGTTCTTGGTACCCAAGCAGGACCCTAAACCCCCAACCCTAAGTCCCATGACAGGGAGTCCTTGGTTAGGGTTCTGATTTAAGGCATAGGGCTGACAGTAGGCTGTTTTGTGATGTGTATGCGGTTGAAGGTCTATTGGGCTCACGGCTTTTGGCCTAGGCTTTGTGTTTAGACTAGGGTTCCAAGCTTTGGGTAATGCTGCTGGAGAATCCGAGGGTTTGTGCTACTGTAGATTGTAGACATTGTAGACACTAAAGAGGGCTACGGCTATAACCCTAAACCCTAAACCCTAAACCCTAAACCCCTAAACCCTAAACCCTAAACCCCTAAACCCTAAACCCTAAACCCTAAACCCTATGGTAGTTCAGGTAGTCGGGTTTGGGGAATTCGGGCCTCGGGGTGCGAACCCGAGGCTTTATAAGCTCCAGGGATCTGGATTTCGAGTCTCGGCTTCGAGTGCAACCCCAAACCCTAAACCCCTCATCATGTCAAAAAAAAACCCTAAACCCCAAACCTATTAAACCCTAAACCCTAAACACCCTTTGGAAACTTTCTGGGGTGCAAAGCTAGGATACCCAGTAACCTTAGAATAAAAAGGCCTCTCTTTTTGGTAGTGGGTAACTTTACAAGGAACCTAGGACTACAAAAAGGGAATAAGGGTACTACTGGGCATCCTAGAAAGTGTGTAGTTCAGCTTGTTGCCTGAAGCCTGTACTGTTGCCTGTGGTGTGAAGACTGCTGCGAAAGGCAGATCATCAGAAAAAGAAATCGCATAGAGGTCTGCGGTTCTAGCCTTCAGGGTGCTTGGATTCAGGGTTTGGGCCTCAGTGGGAGCTCGAAATGATAAATATTCTGAGGATTCACTGAAGCTTCCTCGAACTTAAAGGGGGTCCGACCTTTATGATTTGTCTTGGCAGCCCTACGACCTGGGCAGGCCATGAACAAGATGAAAGTCCTCCAATCCAGGTCCAGGTATCAAGAAAGCAACGCACACACCCCTGCAGTTGCCGTATAGCAGCTTCGGTTCAGGGTTTGGGGTTTAGGAACCCTACAACGTAGGCCCTGCAGCATATTGGAGTCAAGGAATGCTCCACGTGTCATGACATGGCTCTTAGAACATAAAAGCCCCAGACACCAGGGAATAGGCAGTAGCAACTAGTTAAACTGTTCCATGATTCTATATTGTTGATTCCAAAGCCCAACAACCCGCAGCCGCAACCCCCCAGCACCCGACCTCTACTAGCCCCAAACCCGAGTCCTGGGTCACCCTAATCCCTAAACCCGCCGTCTGTTCAGCGCTTATGTGCCTGCGTTTCTCATCCTTATCGATCCTGGCCCCCTGAATCCTAAGTCCTCTTCGGCCCTAAACTCCGTATACCCGAAAATTCTAAAGAACCGCTCCACCTTCAACTCTGAATCGCTGTACTCCGAACCCTAAAGCCTATACTCTAAGCCCTAAACCCTGAAATATACTCTAAGTGCTAAACCATCCTAAACCCTAAATCCCATATCCTAAGCCCTAAACCTGAACCTCTAAAATCCCGTCCTGGCCAAGCTCATCTGGGAGGCTGACCGACGACCTGGAAGGTGGGCATCGAAGGTTCGAGGGTTAGGGGGTAAAAGGGACCCAGAGAACCCAATACCCCTTAATTAGGGAATAGACCTTAAATTATAAAGGCCTTAATATGGGCGGTTGTCAAAATTAGGATCCCTTTCTAGGTACCCTAAATATCAGGTGCCGTACTATCATAAGTAAGGACCCAAAAAGGGACCCTAAATTTTGACAACCACCCATATGATGATTTAAGGTATGTGGCTTAGTTAAGGGGTATTGGGATCTCTGGGGAAGGTTAATAATCAGAATACGGTTGTTTGAAAAGGGTCGTATAAGGGCTACTACAAGGGATCTAGAAGGGTACAATAATATAAGGGCCTTTATTAATTAGAAAAGGGTTTGGGGTAGATTATACTATACTTATAATATGGAATACCAAAATAGTATAGGTAATTATTAAGGCCCCTATAGTATCCATGCCCAGGGCATCAAGCGTAGGGCTTGGAGACAAGTGAAGGTTTAGGGCTTCGGGCGCAATAAGGGTTCAGAGTTCAGGGCTGGGTGATACAAACATGCTCCGGGTTTGGGTCTTTAGGTATCCAGGTTTGGGGGGTTGGGGAAGAGGTTCATGATGGTTCATGACTCACTCCGTCATGAGTCAACTGGGCTGTAGGTTGAGGATCCCGCAACTTATGTATGAATAGGCCATAGTAGCGGGGGACAGAAAATAGGAAGTTGCCCTAGTTGGAGGCATGGACACCATTGCTTCGATCCGATCTTGAAAGTCGCACGTTTCCGGGTTCATGATGGTTCATGACTCACTCCGTCATGAGTCAACTGGGCTGTAGGTTGAGGATCCCGCAACTTATGTATGAATAGGCCATAGTAGCGGGGGACAGAAAATAGGAAGTTGCCCTAGTTGGAGGCATGGACACCATTGCTTCGATCCGATCTTGAAAGTCGCACGTTTCCGGGTTCATGATGGTTCATGACTCACTCCGTCATGAGTCAACTGGGCTGTAGGTTGAGGATCCCGCAACTTATGTATGAATAGGCCATAGTAGCGGGGGACAGAAAATAGGAAGTTGCCCTAGTTGGAGGCATGGACACCATTGCTTCGATCCGATCTTGAAAGTCGCACGTTTCCGGGTTCATGATGGTTCATGACTCACTCCGTCATGAGTCAACTGGGCTGTAGGTTGAGGATCCCGCAACTTATGTATGAATAGGCCATAGTAGCGGGGGACAGAAAATAGGAAGTTGCCCTAGTTGGAGGCATGGACACCATTGCTTCGATCCGATCTTGAAAGTCGCACGTTTCCGGGCCCCGTTCGGTTTAGGGTATAGGGTTTAATTAGGATTTCTGAGATTTTGGGTGTTCTGTCGTCTCGGAAGATCTACAGGCCCTCCACATTGCTTTCCGACTACTTGTACTTTTGGATTAAGCATATGTCCGACCCAAACTCAAAATCCAACGTGTGACAACACAGGTTCGCCAAGCCGTGCACAGTTGGTACTCCGATCCGAGCACCTCGGACGATCATTGACAAGTGCAAGAAGTGATTCCTTGGTGGTGGTGGTGGTGGTGGTGGTGGTGGTGGAAGAGAAAGCAAGCATATACCTGACGAAGGTGAGGGTCACGGCTGCCTTGGCTATCTGCGTGCTGCTGTTGCTACGTTCTTTCGACAGTTCTGTTCACGTTGCTCACATTGAGCTGCTGAGGCAGAGTTCGGTGCGATAAGATTCGCTCTGAACACCTGCTGGCTGGTGATCCCTGCCTGCACCAACCGTGCCATACTACAAGGCTGACCGGGCAAAACCCTACGAACCGAAGAGTGCTGCAGAGCATTCCTTTCCTGCCCACCCCTCAGCCCAAACCTCTTTGACACCTGAGGTCATTTATGCACACCCATATCCTTAGACTTAGAACTACAATCCAAAGCCTGAGCCCTGAACCAGTAACAAACATCAAGCCGTCGGTGACCCGGGTGCCCGGCAACTAAGCAGGCCTTCAAGAAGCCCCGCGCCTCATGGGCCAGTGGGCTTAGCGCTTTAGGGCTGTAGGCTTTCGGACCCATAACTTCTTCATCATGTATACAACCACATGTTGACAACTTCAAGAAATCTGGGCAAACTGTAAGTCTTGGACTTCAGGGCTTACGGTTGAAGGAATCATACGGTTCAGGGCCGAAGGTCTTAAGCCTTACCCAGAGTAACCAAGGTATCTCAAAATTAGATAAAAGCTACGGTATAAGTTTCAGTGTTTAGGGCCATATTCCTTCTTCTAAAGGTACATGGGTGTTTCCGAAAATTAGGGGGTGCCTTATTTTGGGGATTTGGGGAACCTTACAATAAGGATCCTACTGTTTAGGGTTAGGACTGTTTTCGGAAACTCCAACATTGGTTACTCTAGGTATGATTCTGGTTGCGGAAGCGGCAACAAAAGTGATCAGCCGGAGCCGGGCAGGGCGCTCCGGGTTGTGTCTTTGATCTTTGGTTTGGGTTAGAGGTTTCGAGCTTAGGGTTTGCGGCTTTAGCTGCAAGGCTTTCGAAACCTTCGGGTCCGACTTAGGGCAAGGCAAAAGCCCCGAATGGCCATGAATCAGGTTCCCTCGTTTCACGGTTTAGGCCTTTGGGGTTTGCGAGTTTGCGGCTTTAGGGCTTCGGATTGAAAAAGGCTGCTTGTGCATTTTAGGTCGAAAGCCCGTAACGGGCGAGGGGCGGGGTTGATGATGTTCGGGCTGGGGAGCCCGGCAGGTAAAGACACTAGATGACTTTAGTATGGGGTCGGGATAGTTAGTACTACTCTACCATATCAGATGGTAATGGTACTAGTGGAATATACCACGCACTCCAACGTTACCTCAACGCCGAACCCTGCTCCCAAAATCTTGTTCTTTTCGGGTTTAGGCTTTGGGGGTTGAGCATTTGCAGGTTTGGAATTTGGGAGCTAAACCTGACCTCCAACTTGCCTTTGTGGCTGCCGACTGGGGGGGGCGGGCGGGGGCGGCCGGGGGTACTAAACCCTAAAACCTACAAACTTGAAAGGTCTATGGAATCTCAGCCATGCAACAGGAACGCGCAAGGCTTCGAACGCGTCACACCAAGCATGATCCAGGGTTTTGGGTTTGCGGCTTCAAAGCCCCTGAACCCTAAACTAATAAAACCCTAAGCTCATAACCATCCTAAACTCTGGTCCCGTAGCCCAAAGCCCTCAAGCCCTGACTGGCCTCCCTCTCACAGGTGGGCTTGAGGCCGAGGGACTTCTCCTTTGATGGTTTGGAATCGTTGTGGAAGGCATCGCATCCTTCAAACACTCCAAAACCCTAAACCCTAAATTTACAAAGTTTCGCTGTGATCAATGTGCGCGTGGCTTTTCAAGCGCGGCCCAACTTGCTGTACACAAGGCCAAAAAGCACGCTGCGCGAGCCCTCGCGCGAAACTTGTAGACGGCAGTTTTGATTGGTCTACAGCACGCTTATCCGATCACTTGAAACGGTTATCTAAACCCTAAATGCTAAGCAAAGGTTGGGATGGAGAGAAGGCTCCCAATTGCACCCACCGGTTACGTCAGTAATATATAACCCTGGAGGGCGACATTTAGGCCTTAGGCCCGTCGCTCCACCCAGCAACCGCAGCTCGCTGCCTGATATCAAAGACCGCGTTGAGGTCTATCAGGTGCTACTTAACTCCTCCCCCTGTTGCGTTCGGTTGAAAAAGACATTGCATGATGATTCTGGCTGGTTCAGGCCTGCTGTCAGCTGGCAGCCCACATTGCAGAACATGCTCGTGTGGATGATGTTGAAATTTCTCTGGCAGGCGGCAGTTCTTTCGGCTGCGCCTGCGGACCAAGTTTCAGGGCATCCTCATACACCTTCGGCTATCAATAGCACAGCACTATCCACTGCCAACCATACTGCAGCTGGGGACAGGGGTCGACACCATATAGGGCCCGGACTCATTACCAATAGTATTCCTTGCATGATATACTACCAAACCCTACTCCAACGATTCAGGCCCCTGTAAAGGAAATTAAGCCTATTCTATGCATTCGGGTTGACTAGGGGCGCCTGAGTATCTGGGCTGAAACGACCAGATGTAGTGGGGACTATCCTGATTGCAGTTCTTATAATCGGGACCTGGGGCAAGAAGAAGTCGACCAGTATGCTGCTTCGGAAAGATGAGAAAAAACTTAGACCCTTCGAGAGAGAAGACGCATGTACTGCAACCAAAGGAGTCCGAAGGACCCAATAACTACACAGAGATCCCAATACCCCTGATATTCAGGAATATACCTTATATCATATAATATTAAGGCCTCTATGATTTAAGGTAATACTTTTTTAATTAAGGAGTATTGGGTTCTCTGGGTAGGTACTCGGTTTTACAGTAGTCATGTAAGTTAGGATTTTGGAGAGTATCTTATTATTCAGTACTTGGACCCTTGGGGTCAGGGCCTTACAAACCACACTAGGGTATTCGGTGATTGGAACAAGGGGCCCTAAGGGATAACTTTTTGCTACTTGCTCAGTCAGACATGTACAGTAGCAACGACTTGACAGCTTGAAGATCCGGCTGTATGTGTAGAATGTTGTAGACTTGGCAACCATGGCTTCCAAGAAACCCGAAACCTAATCGCTATTCTATCGCTGTCAAACACCAAATACTATTTATTCCTACGCCGAACCACCGGGAATTCCAAAGTAAGCCTACTGCGGATGGACAAATCCCGGCTGTAGTCCACAATAGCAAACATACCCCATCTAGTTTACTTCGTGTCGATTCCAACAGTCCCCAATCTTTTATCATAATAATGGCTCTATATGACACCAATGAAGAATAGTAAGAGTCCCAAATCGATACCTCCTTACCCAGCTTAAGGTCCTTCGGGTGATGCAGGGTTCTGTCTGTCAGCCGCATTACCTAATCGATGGAGCCTGGCATCTTTTGTGGCTCGAAGCTCAGGAGGAGATATTGCGTAATTGCTTGTGCCAGCCAGATTTTCTACCCATAGCTGGCGACGTGTTTAGAACCCAAACGCCGCTCGGCGAACAATTAGAATAGGGCTGTGGGGCAAGATATACTAGAGTCATGTGGGTGTTCAGAAGCAAACTACTGCAAGTAACACTGTGGCTTGTGATACTGTTCACGATACATACCCTGGGGGACCCCAAAGAATTATGTGGCGAATTTCGGCCGACCCTGATATCACACTACGCCTACCCCGCCTCTAGAGCTTACAGCCAAAGCCGAGAAAGCAAATCACCCAAGCAAAAGCAGAGCCGAAGGTCTGCCCCTTCGTGAGGGTTTTAAGATTTCCGATTAAGGTTTAGGGTTTAGGGTAAGGGTTTAGGGCTTAGGGTTTAGGGTCTCAGCTTAGGGTTTAGGGTTTAGGGTTTTATTGAATGTACCGGGCTTCGGGTTTAGGGTTTCGGTTTAGGGTTTAGGGTTTAGGGTTTAGGGTTTAGGGTTCAAAGCTCACGAACTGCAAGCCTGAGCCCTCCGCCGCCCAGCTGAGCGCAGAAATGGGAAAGACCAAAGCATCTAATTTGGCCTTCGGCGAGTTGGGGTTAGGGGTTTAGGGTTTAGGTGCCTGAAACCCAAACACCTAAACCCCCCTAACCCCTCGACACCATGATGTTGGGGTCGCATCCCCTGTCAAAGGTATACTGGTAACTCTGGGTAAACCCTAACACCGAAGCGACTAGAGCGAAGTACACTGAGCTTGAGCTGAGCACTATTTTGCCGGCCAATGCCAAATTCCTGGAGGCTCAGGGTTTACCACGGCAGCTGTTTGACACGCAGGCGCATTCGGGACCTCAAGCCGCAAGAATCACATCCGGAGCGTTTGGAACTTGGGTGTAATTAAAGGTTCCCAAAGGCGCATACCTGGACCCCGAAAGTATGTAGCATAATAGCCGTTTATAGGTTTGGGCCATGATTCTACCTCCTTTTGCGGATCTAGGTAAGCACGAATTTTACGAATACGCAAGACTCTGAGCCATGGCCGGTAAGCTTTGGAGTGATATCAGCACAGCCGCTCATGAATTCCAATAGCTCATGAACTCCGCCCGTGTGGGCACTTACTCACCTTGCACCCATAGCCGGCAGCAGTAATGTAGGGGCCTTGATAATTAGAATAGGGTTTGGGGGACCATTATATTATACTTATGATCAGGAACCCCCAAAATATTATTCGTGATTAATTCTGTAGTAACCCTAAACCCCGGCAACACAAGACGGATCTGGGTCGTGTTGCTTCATTGCGTCTCGCCATGATGGCATACTTCCGTAAACCTCAGCCTTTTCATTTCTAAACGCTCAACCCTACTGTAGGGGCCTGAATAATTAGAATAAGGTTTGGGGGCCCGTTATATAATCATGATAAGGAACCAGCCCCAAAAATGGCATAGGTAATTATCAGAGCCTCTATATTCATCCCTCAGCCCCGAGGCCTACAAACCCTAGTCCCTGCCCGATAAATCCTGAACTTTGAACCCAAAAGCCCTCGCTACAACTCCGAACAATGCCCCCCCGACCTGGATAAAGTCGCGGTACATCTGCTGCGGGATCGTGCAGTTGGAGGTATCAGGCATGGTGGAATCAGCGATCATACCTCACAAAGACTGGGTATGAAGATGGTTCCCTTGGGTTGCTCTGAAAGGGTTCTAGAAGGATTTTTAAAACGGTTACTCAGGGACCTGAATCATTTGAGTAGAGTTTTGCGGTGTATACCACCGCTGTATCAAGGAGTCGTAAGGAATAGTACTACCATAATACTATCCCTTAGATTTTAGGGTTTTGTTACTTCATATTCCACCGTCTTGCGGGGGCCATCAGCTCCTGCTGCCCCAAAAGCTCCCCTCTGGACCCTAAATCGTACTTAAAGGCTCATGGGACTTAGTAAGGGTTCTTAAAGGGCTCCTTAAAGGGATCTATAGGGCTCCTTAAAAGGGTTCTATGGGGTTTAGGGTTTAGGGTCTACTTGAAGGCTCATGGGACTTAGTAAGTAAGGTTATAAGTAGGTTATAATTAGGATAACCCCACTTAGGGGACTTATAACCCCAGTTATAACCTACTTACTAAGTCCCATGATCCTTCAAGTAGGCTCCAAGGTCCAGGGCTTGGGGGACATTCTAGTACGAGTATATTCTTTGTATAGGGACTAACTATACGAGAACATTATTTGAGCATACATAGTAATAGTAAGCATTCCGGATCCCGAAGTGCATAGTTCAACTAGTCAACCAGTCGGAGAGCACTCCTCCTATGAAGCAGATGCTGTAGGGTTTAGGATTTGGTGATTAGGGGTTTAAGAGGTGGAGGGTTTATAGGGTTTAGGGTTCAAGGGTGGGGATTTATTGTTTAGGGTTTAGGGGCGGAGAGTTTATAGGGTTTAGGGTTCAGGGGTTTAGGGTTTAGGGTCGACGTGAACCTACCGAGACCATCAGGAAGAAGTGAACAATGCAGACAAGTCGTTCTTTGGCTACCTCTCCTGCGGTTGTTCGATATGCTTTGCACCGTGTCACGACTCGTGCTGTTCTTCAACCCTCGAGTAACATACCCTAAACCCTGCGCCATAAACCCAATCCCACACTAGATTATAAACCCTGAACCTAAACCGTTTAAGATGACCGTCACTACGAACACCTGACACACTACCGATAAAAGGCTGCTCGATGCTAGTCATGAAAGTCGAGCTCTTGCACCTGCGCCTAGGCTTCAGGGTTTCGAATTGACTGTCCGGGGGTTTACAGGGTCTAGGGTGTAGAACGGTTTACGTAGAGTGTCGGGTTTTAGGGTTTAGGGTTTAGGGTTTGGGGTTCAGAGCTGAAGCCCTAAACTACCAAACCCTACCTTTTTTGTAGGTGCTGAGTATCAACCCTAATATGGAACTTATAGGGGCCCTACAAAAAATAGGTTTTGGTAGGTTAACTATACTCCCCTTAGAAGCATTAAAAAAATACTATCTTTAATGTTCTCTTGGGTTTTATATGAACAAAAAATAAAACATAATTCCCTAAGGGAGGCCCGAAACATGGTGAGCTCAGGCCCTCGCGGGCTTCGTGGAGCAAGAGGTTCTCGTCGACCTGCGGTGGCAGTGCTCCGAACGGTTTCGGAACTCCCCCCCGGACCCTAAAAAAAGGGGCCTTAATGCCTTAATGATTAGAATAGGGTTTTGGGGTCCGTGATACTATAATCTATAATTCTAATAAGGAACACCCCCAAGATAGTTTAGGTAACTGTTTATATTATCTCCTAAAGCTTCTGATCACCTTGTCAGGAATTGTGCAACGTACACCTGCGAGCTTCTGATGCTGGAGCAGACGAGAAGTAGGGTGCAAGGTTGTAGGTAGTAATTAAGATGTGCAGTTGCCGTGCGATAGTTTGCGAAACACCAAAAAGCCCTAGACGCCAAACCTAGAACCCTGAAAACATCACGACCGTTGGACTGCTTGTTCGTGTTTTTTTTGTTAGCGCCTTTTTTCCGCCTTGCAGTTAAGGTCAGCAGAATTCGCACTTTCGTGGGTTTAGGGCTTCGGGTTTCGAACCATATTGCCTTAGCGGCATCAGAAGTGAAGCGGACGTAGTCCAAAGGAGACTCCAAATCTTGGGGATGCAGGGGATTACGGTTCATGTTCCTGGACCGTGAAGAACCTACTTTTTGTCTTTATGATTGCCTTATATGAGTCTTTAAACGGGTAGCTTGCCTAGGTAGCCGTTACCACGAAACCACGAAACCTTGAGACAAGGATCCTGAACCCACCACCGAACCTGAAACCTTCAAACTCACATAAGCAAAAATATGAACAGGCATATCCCGTACAAACAAACCCTTCTCTCTTTGGTCCCTAATCTTACTCAGAAATTCTTTTTCCAGGCGGTCTAGCCCAAACGCGGGTTATCTGAATTCGGGATTCCTTCAAGGTGCCAAGAACGATCAGAACTGGCGAAGTATAAGACAGGGGCAACCTCATGCAAACCACCCAGACCAAAAATCCTAAACCCTAAACCCTGAAAGGCAGCAAACTGATTCAGAGCTCACTTATTCAGAGCTCAGGATTTGCAGCTACGGTGGTCCGCGCCTTGCCCTCCTCCACCACCCAGCGAGGGCTGGACACCTGGGCGATCAAGCTCAGGAGTTCGTGCGGCGTATTCAGGGCGTAGCATCTTCCCAGTCTAGGTGTCCCTAAGGGTCCAAAGGACCCAATGATCAGGTACTCTGTTTTAGGATTTTCGGATAGCAGTTGTGGAGGTTAGGATTTCGGAGAGTTTATGATTATTAGGTACTTGAACCCTTGGGGTGTGAGGGTTTAGTGTAGAGCCTGAAGGATCCTCAGGAGGACAGTTGAGCTTCAAGGTTTAGGGTTTAGGGTTTAGGGGTTTAGGGTTTAGGGTGTTGTAAGTCCCCTACTCATGTGGGTTAGAGTTATGCTGTTGATGATACAAAATCCTGCATCACCCTGAGGACGGGAATAATGGTATATTCCTGATTATGGGTCATGCAGGATTTACATCATCAGCCGTAATCACCCTACTGAACCCCACTTGTAAGCTAAGCCCTTAAACCCCGAGCCCCTAAACCCTAAGCCCTAAACCCTAGGCCCTAAACCCAAGCCCCAAAGCCCCAAACCCCTAAACCCTAAGCCCTAAACCCCTAACCCCTAAACCCTAAACCCAAAGCCCCAAACCCCTAAGCCCCAAACCCCTAGACCCTAGGCCTTAATCCCCGAAACCCTGAACCCTAAGCCCTCCGAAGGACAGCTGAGCCTTGGGCCCGTATGCAGAAGTCCTGCCTCGGCAGGGACAGTTGGGGGTCTCGGGCTGCCAAGGCACGTATCGGGCTCTCTAGCGTTCCTTCAAAGGGATCTATAGGGGTTCCAGCAAGGGATCTAATGTGGTCTCCTGACTATTAAACCCCCCCAAACAACCAAAATCCATAATAATAATAATAATAATAATAATACTGGCGTGTTTGCGCGGCGGAAGGGATCTGTAGGGCTTCAAAGCGACACCCTTCAGGGACCCAGAGAGCCCAATACCCCTTAAATAAGGAATACCAGGGTTCCTGTAAAAGGATCCTTTAAGGGATCTACAGGTTTAGGGTTTAGGGAATTCTAATACCCCTTAAATAAGATAGAACACGAAGAACCAGACAAATAGCTCTCGGTCTCCCACAGGCAGCTGCTTTCAAGTAGCGGTTTAGGGTTTAGGAGACAAGGGATGGTTTAGGGATTATCAGATTTAGGGACCAGGTTCCCAGAGAACCCAATATCCCTTTATTAAGGAGTATACCTTAAATAATAGGGGCCTTAATGTTATGATTTAGGGTATATTCCTTAATTAAGGAATATACCTCAACAAATAGGGGCCTTAATTGTGTGATTTACGGTACATTCCTTATAATTGAGGGATTCTAGCATCCCCTAAACCGTATAGATCCCTTAACGGAACCCTATAGATCCGTTTAATACACCGTAAGGTATATTCCTTAATTAAGGGGTATTGGGATCTTTCGGGGGGAAGTGGGATCCTTTAAGGGATCTACAGGGTTTAGGGTTTAGGGAATTCTGATACCCCTTAAACAAGGAATATGCCTCCAATTGCAACGATTTAAGATATATATATATATATATATTCCTTAATAATTAATTAAAGGGTATTGGGATCTCTGGGTACTTGCGAAATCAGCACAGTCCGGCGTAGAATTTAGGATTCAGGGGTTTAGGGTTTCAGGGTAACCCGATGCCCAACATTTGTAGGGCCCTATACACTTCAAACGACAGGAAGCTGAATGGCTTCCAACAGTGCTGTTTGGGCATACCCTGTCTTGGCTATGCAGCGGCTATGGGGCACAAAAAAAAAAGGCACTACGGCACTACGGCTGCGGCTTCAGCGCCAGCTAATCCAGCCGAAGAGCCGGGCCTATAGATAGCATAGAACGAAGGCCTGACTAAGTACCGATATTATGCGCGTAGGATTCCTGAAGATAAGTCGACGTCTTAAACCCTCACATGAAACGATAGTGTCCTGTAGGCGCTTGCCTCGAACCGGAAACGTCAACAATTTCAAACTCTAAGCTCTAACCCCTAAACACCCCTAAACATACAGTAAGCTCTACCCATAGGCTCCACAGTAGTTCGTTTTGGGGATTACCTTATAGGATTCTAACTTTGAACCCTAAAAGGGATCTACTATGGAGCCTATGGGTAAGCCCTAAACATAGTCTATACTCAGACTCCTTAGCTCTAACCGCTAAACATACCCGGAGAACCCAATACCCTTTAATTAAGGAATATACCTTAAACAATAGGGGGCTTAATATTATGCCTTAAGGTATATTCCGTAATTCAGGGGTATTGGGATCTCTGGGAACATAGTCTGGACTCAGACCCCAAAGCAGACTGAGGGGCTGGCGCAGAATCAGCCAAGGGAGGCACATACCTGGGCTTGGATACTGCCCCCATACAGTAGCAGTCCATAACAAGGCCACTACAATACGGCTACTATAGTAAGGCTACTACAACAAGGCTACTATAACAAGGCTACTATAAATATTATTCAACTGCTACTGCGTGGGGGGGGCAGATCTAGAATTCTTAACATAGGGGCCTGAAGAACTAGACAAGGGCTTCGGGGATGATTTCATTTTGTTCTGGAAACAGGGTGCCTCAGAAATTCAGAATGTGACGAAGTACTCAAACTGCTACCGTGAGCTGCCCGGGAGACGGGCGAGCTTCTCGGATTAAGGCTGGGAAACGGCTCCACATTCTTGAATCCCAAGCCCCACACCCAAGCCCCAAACCCCTAAACCCTAAGCCCTCCCAAAGCCCTAAACCCAAGCCCTAAACCCAAGCCCCAAACCCCTAAACGACTGAGGTTCAGGGTTTCGGACTTCGGGCTTAGGGGAAACTAAGACCATGAAATCAAGCCGCAACCTCAAGCTAGAAGCCAAGTCGCCCCCGTTACTTAAGCCCCGAAGCCCAAGCCAGAGCACTAAATTCCTAAAGCTCCTTGAAAGCTACTTATGACAAGGAAGCAAATGGGAATAGTATGAGAGTTGTTTAGGCTTTCATGTTTACACCCTGAACACTCACGCCCAGTCAGGGGGAATTTGTAGAAGGCAACTCTTCTCCGAAACCCTAAACCCCAAACCCTAAACCCCAAACCCCTAAACCCCAAACCCTGAACCCTAAACCCCTAAACCCTGAACCCCTAAACCCCTAAACCCATAGGCTCCGGCTGTCGCCGTAGGAGCAGAACCGCCTGGACCTGAGATGCTTGGCTTTAGCTCTCCGAAAACGCAGAATGTGGTGCTTGAGGGCTTTCCCAGAGAACCCAATACCCCTTGATTAAGGAATATATCTTAAATCATAGAGACCTTAATATTATGATTTAAGGTATATTCCTTAATGAAGGGATATTGGGATCTCTAGGTCCCTTCACCCCCAAATAACAAACCTTGTAGGGCTCCTCCCTACAGAGATCCGTGAAAAGGTAAGGTTTATAGGGCACAGGCAAGGTTTACACTGTTGGGATCAGGGCTTAGGGCTTAGGGTTTACAAAGTTTTAGATTGTAGGGTTGAAACCTTTAGGTGCAGGCTCCAAGTTTTAAGGTCCAGGGGTGAAGAGTGTTCCCCAAGGGTCCAAGTACCCAATAATCATATACTCTCCCAAATTCTAACCTACATAACTACTTTCCTAAAGCCGAGTACCTAATTATTGGGTCCTTTGGACCCTTGGGGGTTTGGCTTAGAACATGGAACGCAGGCTTCAGGCTGGTAGTTTATAAACTCCACGAGCACTTCTTTGAATGACACACACGCTGAGTGTAAGCTGCAAGCTAGACCCTAAGCTCCAAGCCCAGAAGCCCATTATAGGGGCCTAAAAAAAGAATAAGGTTCTTGCGGCATACTAACCTCTAACTATACGGAGGAACCCACAAATTAATGTAGGAAATTCTTAAGCCCCCTAAACTAAACCCTATACCTTGCAGTCAGTTCGGAATCATTCTGCCCGTCCACAGCGATCGACCCAAAGAAGAAAATACCATACCAGATCCTGAGTGCAAGTCACAAGCGCACGAACCTGCTATAGGGGCCTTAATCATCAGAATAGAGTTTGGGGTTCCTGTATAGTATAGTAATACTCGGAACCCTAAGGAATAATATATAGGTAATCATTGAGCCCCCGTATCAGAACCCACAACCCCGAAACCCATGACACCATGAGCCCTTAAACCCTGAATCGTTAAACTGACCCAGACCATAAACTAAACTCTCAAAGCTCCAACAGACCTACACCCAGAACCCTAGAGCCTTACAAAAACTCTAAATCTAAAAACCCTGACTTGGTATGCTCTCCAGGGAAGGCACCGTTTCGGAGGAACGGACGATGAGCTCCCATCCTCTGCAGCAGGGTATAAGTTTTTGGGCCTAGTCATTTGTTTCGTGCTTACAGGGTATAGCGGGTGAAGATGTCCTCGCTGTTCACCCAAAAACTTCACCGGCTCTCATTCTCAACTGTAATGATAATAGTAACAATAATTACAAACTAGGGTTTAGGGTTTAGAGTTCAGGGACTTAGTAATTAGTAAGTAGACTTATAAGTACCTTAAAAGGGGCCCTAATTGGGGTTATGGTACTTACAAGTCCTTAAAAAAACCAGTTACTAAGTTCCCCGACCCTCCAAGTATAATCAGTGAAACCCGATCCCTAAACCCTACAGAATGACCAGAAATAGTAAAGCTCTATAGTAAACCCCATAAAGTTGGAAACCGGAATAAGGCCAAATAGAGCTGGGATTCCCTCTACATTACTCTTAAGGATTGGGGCTATTGGGTGTCCAACTTTTGGGCTTCTACTGTAAACCTTAAACGGGGCTTCTGGATCTTGGGCTTACTTTCCAAGGGGAAAAGGAGGGACCCTTAATGGGACCCCTACCCTATAATGGGCTATATAATGGGTATATAATAGCTATATTAAGGGTATATACCTAGGGGTCCTTATTAAGGGTCCGTCCTTGTACCCTTGGATACTTCTGCAGGCTATGTACTCAGGAATAGCCCGCTTCGCCTGTCCAGGCACAGATGTCGTTGTTGAAGTTGGTCCTGCCGGCAACAAGCAATAGAAGATAGACGCAATGCATGGAGAAGCAAAAGGCAACACCTTCCATAAACACTACGAGAAAAATTGAACTAAACCTTGCAAATCTCAAATACAAGAAGGAAGTGTCTAATTATGGTTTAGGCCCGAATCTCAAAGCTGAGGTGTGGGTTGACACCCATCCCAACTCCCAAACCGAAAAGTCTGAAACACCCATGAAATCCGTATAAGAGCCTTCAAAGCTTCAAGAGCCCCTTAGAAGCCCTGAGCCCGCTCACCTCCCGTGTTCAAGCTCGGAGTCGCCCTAAGCCCTCAACCCTAGGGTTTAGGGTTTAGGGTTTAGGGTTTAGGGTTTTGGGGTTTAGGGTTTAGGGTTTAGGGTTTAGGGTTTTGGGGTTTAGGGTTTAGGGTTTAGGGTTTGGGGTTTAGGGTTTAGGGTTTGGGGTTTAGGGTTTAGGGCATAACTCGAAACCGAAAACATAATCCCGAAGCCCTAAACGTCCTAATTTCTCTAAAATCTAAAACTGGGACCTCAAAACCCCGATCCCTAAACCATCCTAAACCCTAAACCCTAAAGTCAAAACCCCGAACCCTGAACCATCCTATAGAAACCCTGAACTCGAAACCCCGAAACCTAAACCATAGACCCGACACCCCAGGGTCCTCTTGTGATGGGGAGCGCTCCTGATGACGACCACATGGCTCCTGGTGCCGGCCGAGGCTGCTTGGAGTTTCTATGGGTTTAGACGTTTAGAGTTTTAGAGTTGTTAATGTATTTTTTTGTTTTTGCTGGTGGGCTCTTTTGCTTCTGCGTGATTAGCTAGCAGAATTCCCAGTGGAAGGAATTTGGAGTTCAGTGTTTAGGGTTTCGGGCTTCGGGTCTAGAGCTTACAGTCGATGGCTAGAATCGGCTAGAGTTTAGTGTTAAGAGTCTCCGCCGCTTGTGGGGTTTATGTTGCCATCGCTGTTGTGTCGAAGTTCTGTTGGTATCGCGCCGTGATAGTCTTCGCGTAGATGGCTGGTAGGTGGTAGGTTAGTTCTTGAGGCACTCCCAATGATTCAATGGCCTGCTGGATTACTTTGCAAGTCGATCTGTCGAAGATGTGGGTAGTTGTCAAAATTAAGGTCCCTTGTTGGGTACCCTAAGGGTACCGTAAACAATAGGTGCTGTATCATAATAGGGACCCAAAAAGGCACCATAATTTTGACAACCACCCATGTGTTTGTTAATCCTGCAAGAGTCGTCATGGCTAGTTTTTTGACTGCCGATGTCTCGGTGAAGCAGGCAAGGAGGCAAGGTGGCGGCATGAGAGTCATGATGGCGGCGATCCTGGGCAGCATTGGGTAGCAGTAGCACTGTTCTGGGTTTCTTTGCTGGTGCCAAACCTTGACTGTGGTACTGATGGCGATGCTGGTGGTTTAGAGTGCAGATGCACATGACGAGCCCGATGGTGAAGACGAAGACATCATAACTTTGACAACCTTGACGATTACGATGAACAAAAAGTGCGTATAAGGATTGTAGATTTGGATAGTGTTGTTGATTGAGATGCTCGTGGCAGGCAAGACCGATTGAACCCTTTGAAAGCCTGAACCCAACAAACCATATTCAAACGCACAGAGTGACTCTGAGACTCTGACACCTCCTGCCGAACAGAGCACTCGATCTGACGCTCGATTCAATAAAGGGGCACAGCAATGGCCTCGTCACCGACACTAAACACAAATGACCCTGAGCCCCCAAACCGAAATAGCAACCTTATAGAAACTTTCTCTAGCCCTTGTCGTACCGAGTCGTACCCTGAGTGTAACTAAACCGGCTCGACTGAGGTGGGGAAGGGAAGTTCTGAGGCTCAGTACCTACCTAGACCCCCAAAAGTAGGTAAAATAATGGCCTAAAACCTATAAAAGGCTATTATTCTACATACTTTTGGCGTCCAGGTAGGATAAAATCAACGATCCCAGCTGTAGGCTTAAAACCAGGGTTGAGGGTGAAGAGTCTATTTTGGGTTTGCCTGACCAAACGCCTGCAACCCACTTTTGCATCGTAGCGGCCGGCACAACGAGAGAGGAAAGAAACAAAACAACCCAAAAACTTGGACTGATGAATGCGATAAACACGCATCTACAGGGTTGCGTGTAAATCGTCTCTCCTTTTTCATCGCTTCTCGGTGGACTGTGGTTGAGGCCCCCGCAAGTTGAGTGTGATGCTCTGCTTGTACTCCAGAGCCACCCATCCTGAAGCCGCGGCTCAGGGTTCCCTAAACCCTAAACCCCAAAACCCTAAACCCCTGAACCCTAAACTCCTATACCCTAAACCCCAAAACCCTAAACTCCTAAACCCTGAACCCTAAACCCCTAAACCCTAAACTCCTAAACCCTGAACCCTAAACCCTAAACTCCTAAACCCTTGGCTCCCATATTACCCCGGTTCGATGGGTTTCCGGTTTAGCGGTTCCGGCTTAGGGTTTACGGTTCAATCGTTGAGCTTCGGGTCTCTAGACAGCAGGGCGTCGGGCTAAGGGTAGGGTTGCTCTAGAGATTCACCTTAGAAGGGGCCCCCACCCTGTAATAGTGACTATAAGGATTATACTGCGAAGGCTTCTGAAATATTATTAAGTTTTTGCATCAACCACCGAAGGCAAAGCACAGATGGAGACCTCATGCAAAAAGCAAACGCGCAAAACAAAATGCGAACAACATGCAAACAGTATATGTAAAACAACCGCAAGTCAGCATACCCTGACCGGTTCTGGAATTCAAGCAGGCAGACCAGAGCTGTAGCCTGCAACGACGAAATTACAACTGCTTCCGCGGAGATATACATATGTGTTATATGTATAAGATATAAAGGTATCACATTTGATAGCCGTTCTGGCTCCTACATGCTACATGCTCTTATTGTACTCTGAAGCCCGCATCCCTGGCAAAAGGCACGAAGCCCTGAACACACAATGGTCGCACGGTTAGGCTTCTGCAGTTTAGGGCTCAGGGGTTCGCGGTTAAGAACTCAGGGTCTTTGAGGTGTGCGGTTTGGGTGATCTCCAATGGACCATATGTCTTCGGCATACTCCGATCTGCCCATTCATGCAAATACAGCCCAAAAATCTCAAGCCCTCAACCCTAAACCCTGATTCCTAAAAACCCTAAAGTGCGAATCTAGGGCCCTGAATCTAATCTCAACCCGAAAGCAGTGCAAGGATGCAAGTGTATCTCAATTCCACTACGTGTGTGCATATGGCTGGTGTCCTCAATCAGGAGCACGGCACCCTTGTAGAAGGAACCCCAAACAAAACCCTAATTTGAAGAACTACCCATATCTACACTATACACTATGCCGCAACAGTTGTATACTGCTCTGTGTATATTTTTTTCACAAGGAGAAAGACAAGGGAGTAGAGACAGAGAGAGGTGTGCTCGTCAGAGGAGTCGTGCAGTAGCTCACTAATGAATGGACTGCCTAGAGCCCTAAACCCTAGACCCTAAACCCAAAACCCTAAAACCTAAACCCAAAACCCACTGATATCGAAGCCGAAGCTGCTTCACGTAGCCTGATAGTAGCCCCGTATATAATCACCACTCATAGTAACCTGAGTAACCTTACTTGGGGGGTCGGGGGACTTAGTAAGTAGTGAGAAAGTAGACTTATAAGCGCCCTAAAAGGGACCCTAATTGGGGTTATGGTACTTAAGTCCCTAAAATAGCCAGTTACAAAGTCCCCTAAAGACCCTCCAAGTACAGGACTTAGGCTACTATGTCGAAGCTCAAGCGGCGTATGTGGTTGTAGCTCGAAGACTCGAGGTTAGAGATGGGCACGGGCCTTGAGATGCACTTATCGCTGTTTCGGATGGCCAAGGGAGTCTGAGAGTTTCGGGCATGGGAATTGAGCTTTTGAACCTGTGGGCCTGAATAAATAGAATAGGGTTCGTTCTAGATTTTGCATAATTTCAAGAAGGAGCCCTAAGCAATAGCATGTACTAGTTATTCAGGCATGTGCAATAGGCTGCTTGGGCGGGCATAGGGTTTTGGGGGGAAAGCCTTTGAATCACCTGACAAGGCCTCATAGACCGTAACGTCCCCATACGAGCCTTTCGAGGATTGAACCCTTAACATTCAATTGATCCCCCCAGCCTTAACCCCTAAAACCCCAAACCCCAAGCTCTCAGTCAACGAACAAAATAAAGCACGTCACGATTCATTGAGAGGGCGGGGGGGGGGGGCATGAAGGCATGAGGGTGAGGCTCGAGGTTGGGGAGCCCCTCAACCCGAAACCCTGCAGCGTTTAGGTGTGGGGATTCCTGTTTTGGGCACCGGGTCTGCTTCCGGAAGAACCCGAAGCTCCAAAAGAAGTTTGCTTTGGGTTCATGGTTCAATCTAGGGGCCCTCAATAGCCTGCAGGGTTTTAGAGGGAATTCTAGCTGTTATGAGGATAGAGTTCTAGGGGTACTGAATTGTCGCATTGTTGTGAAAAGGAGTCCTGAATTGTCGCATTAAGGGGAAAAGGAGATGTGACTGCTAACTACTACCCACTGTCAAGCCTCTAAATATGGGCACCCGGGGCCCAAACTCCTGCACCACAATCTCGAGATCTAGCATTCGGGCTTGGTCCAAGAGGTGGCCGGCATGGTCCTGAAACGGTTGTTTCAGGGTTGGGGTTTAAGCTTAAAGCTTAGGATTTCGGATTGTGGGTTCTTTGAACGCCCAATGGGCCCGCAAGGGTCTACACTTAGATTGTCTGAGTGGGTTCGGTCGTTGTTTGATAATTCGGGGTTCGTTAAGGGTTGTTGGAAATGTGTAGGACGTCATCAATACAAACCCCACTACCCTTGCACCTGCCTCAGTTCAACTAAAACTGCCACTTGGGTATTCCAGATGTAGGAATTTGGAGCTATATAGGGCTATCGTGTTCAGCGGTCCTTGTTTTCAGGATTTTACTATCTGATGCACTAGTTTGGGTTCACGTGCATGTGGATTGCTTTTTATTAGTTTTGCTGAATCCAACATTACCTCTTCAATCGCCAGTTGCAAGCCGAGCTACAACGATCGGAGAAAACTCTCCCTTATGTATGAACCCTGATGGAACCTTGAGAGCACACCAAGCAGTGTTTATAGGAATTGGGGACCGGATCTCGTATGCCAGCGGGATCCAGAAAAGCCGTAAATAAACACGAGTCCTCGTAGCCTAAGGGTTCTACACCGCAGCCGAAGCAGGTCTCACTTTCGACCGGAGGCCCCCCAAGTACGGCTTGAGGATGAGCTTGAGGGCTTCAATAGATGCAAATTGCAGGGCTTAGGGCTGGAGGGTGTCGTCGTGTTTTTGCTTTAGGCCTTTGCGTTTGAAGCTGAGTTTGGGATTCAGTTCAATCTAGGGCTGTAGGGTTTGGTTTAGTTGATTGTATGTGCTATTAAGGTTTAATGAAGTTGTATGGCGCTAAGAGCTTGGGGTTCAGGCTTCAAGAGCCCTTCATCCAACCTGGTCTTGATAGGAGTTCGCCACGAAGAAACGGTGCGAGTGGTGCAAGACCTGCCGCAAACTACAAGCTCCTGTACTGCAGCATCCATGTGCTGCAAGTCTAGATACCACTCTCCACGCTCCACGCAATCACGCATGGTCTGAGGAAACACGTCTGACCAGAAGGTCTACGTGTACGTACATGTGGCAGCCTCAAGCCCAAAACCGCCGGCCCTAAACATCAAAAGCAAAACCTCCAGCCAACCCTTACCCCCAAACCAACACTCTGAAACCCTAAACCCCCGAAAGGCACGGTGACCTGGTGGTGGCAGCAGCAGCCGTAGCAGTAGCGGTAGCAGAAGCTGTGACGGTAGCAATAACAGGCGCAGCAAGAGTAGTGGTAGCTGGTCGCAGCACCACCAGCACCAGCAACAGCAGTAAAAGCAGCAGTAGGAGCAGCAGTATAGTAGCACTGGTAGTAACAGCCATAACAAGCACAGCAGTAGCGACGAAACTTGAGCTCTGAGTTGAAACGGCCTGCTTGCAGCCCTTGAACGGCTTCACCGTAAGCTTGACCTGCTCCTTTCTAGTCTCGTCACCTTGGCTGAGCCCTCAGCACGAGGGTTAGGGCTTGGGGGGACTACCAAAAGGCGACATTAGTAGGTCCCCAAAACACACCATAGGTTCCCACAGCATCCTCTTCTGTAGGGCTTCGGGCTCAAGCATTGCAGGGTTTACGGTTGAAAAGTTTATAATTAAAGTTCAGGGTGGTTGATTGAAACTCTGACTCTGGTCCGAAACGAGCATGATGGGAATCTCATCGAATGCTACATGGACAGGTGCGCGGTTCCATTCCCCCACCCTTGCTGTGAGCCCGGCTCAGAGGATGCTTCACGAGGTGCAGGTGGCGCACCTCTTTAGAGTCAGGCTTGAGGGTTTAGGGCTTAAGGGTTGAAGGGGCTTCGTGCTTGCGTCTTTTCGACCAGAGATTCGTGGGCATTGGAGCTTAAGGGTTAAGACCTCGTAGCCATAGCGACAACAACGACTACTACTGCTACTACAACTACTACAACTGCTACTACTACTACTACTACTACTACTACTACTACTGCTACTGCTACTGCTACTGCTACTGCTACTGCTACTGCTACTGCTACTGCTACTGCTACTGCTACTGCTACTGCTACTGCTACTGCTACTGCTACTGCTACTGCTACTGCTACTGCTACTGCTACTGCTACTGCTACTGCTACGGCTACTGCTACTGCTACTGCTACTGCTACTGCTACTCTCCTACTACTACTACTACTACTACTACTACTACTACTACTACTACTACTACTACTACTACTACTACTACTACTACTACCATGTGTACTATGTAGTGTAACTATACATGACTGTTGCTGCTGCTGATTCTGCTGCTCCGGCTGCTGATACTGCTCTTGCCAGTACAATGGTTAATCATTCTGATCCGATACTTGGTGGCAGTGATGATGCTGATAGTACCGATGATAGTAGTAGTATGGATGAGCATGACTAGGGCCATTCTGCACCAAGCCGAACAAGAAGTATCTATTCTTATAACCAAAATCTGAAATGTCAGGAGTCAACACAGGAACCCGGCTGTTGGACTCGATCTGTTAAAGCTCAGGGCTTGGGGTTAAAAACATGCGATGCCTCGCGTGGACATCCTACTGCAGTATCCTGACCCCCTTTACCCCCAAGTCTAATCCCAATGCCCTGAACCCTACATTGAGCCTGGCCAAAGCGAAAGATGTAGTCCGTGTTCCAGGCCACCTCTCGGGAAATAAGGCTCATCGCAGGGTTTCATCTTAGGTTTACGGCTCGCAAATCCCAGCCTCAAATCTTGGGCTTCTGGTTAGGGAAGTGGGGTGGATGGTTCGTAAACCTCTAAACTGCATCTCGGGAGGCTTCCAGATTTGAGACGCTTTCGCTGCTGTGGGCCTTTCGAGGCTCAGTGCCTCAAGGCTTTGTGGTTGCAAGGTTAGGAGGACTAGGGTCCCCTTAAACCCTAAACCCTGGTGATTGAGGTCGGGTGACGGGGCTCAGCACTGTGAGGTTGCAACGGTTTGTGCATGTTGGGTTTGCGGATTTGGTCTTTTGGGTGTATCGGGCTTCGTGGTCACGTTCTACGGCTTACCCCATACCCTAAACCCCCCCCAACCCTTGCGGAACCGGGAAACTTGCAGTAACATCCTTTTTGGCAACCCCACGAAACCCTTAAAGGAACCTGTAAAAGAAGGAACCCCGCAAAAGGAACCCGTAAAGAACCCTCAAAGGGACCCGTGGATTTTAGGATCCCGGGAAGGGCCTCGCCTGGATCCGCTGGGCCAGTGCATGCCGATTCTCACAGGACACCTTGGCCGTGCTTTAGTTTGGGGAATAACAGGGCCCATTAAAGAGTGCTATACGGTTGAGGGTTTAGGATTGAGGGCCCTGGGATTCAGGCCCACACCCAAAAACCCTACAAGCCCAAAATCTAAACCCTAGATCCTAAGCCCTATAAACCCTAAAGAGTGGATCACTAAACCCTATGAAATATGGAAAACACCCGGCTATCCGGACAACTCCCCTCGGGCTGCGCACCAGGAGCTTTTCGGCTTTCCAGGCCATGGATCCAGCTTCACCTGAAGTCATATCAAGGACATATGGTGTAGGGTCGGGTTTAGGGGTCGGGTTCTGGGGCCTAGGGCTTAGGGTTTAGCTACTTTGGTTGAGCATTTAGGGGCTTTCACAGCAGTAGTACTAGCAGCAGCAGCAGCAGCAGCAGCAGCAGTGTTTGCTGCTGTTGCTGTTGCTGCTGCCGCTAAGGTTTAGGTGCTCTTGTCGTTGTTGCTCCGTCCAGATGCTTTGACTTTTTGATGGTCCCTTCGACTGAGGCGTTGTTTTTTCGAGCCCTTGAGGGCCTTCAGCGGTGGGCTTCGGGCTCCTGGGTTACTCGTCTTGGAGTATGTCTATAGAGGGGAGTCGGGATCAGCTAGGGCTGGGGGCTGCCGGGTAAGTTTTTTGGGATCCGGGCTTGGGCTTCGGGAGCTCAAGCTTCACCTAGGTGGGGCTTGTAAAGCTTTTGAAAACTGTTAGTAAAAAAAAAACTCTTAAGCCCAATACGGGGAAAAAACTGTCCCAAAGTCCTACCTAGTCACTGAGTACGAAAGTTTCGGTGAAAAGTCACCGACAAATTCAATTTCTCAAGACCCACGGCCGAGCTAAGGCCCAGACTGAGGACGAGGGCAATGTCGGTGGTGTTCTCCGAATCCTTCCGGGATTCCATTTAAACTTTACGGTACCCTTTCAAGGGCCCCCCCTTTAGGAGTTCTATGAGGGATTTGGGACGTGGGGCTTTGGGTTTTTCATCTTCAGGGTTGAGGGCACTGGACTTCGAATTGGAGGCTTAGGGGTCTCAAGGGGTCTGGGATTGGGGTGCTGATGCCGATGTTGCAAGCACGGAACTCCAGAGGAAGCCGTCAGAAGAAAGTGTTGCTCAAGGTCTCTATCAAGCTCTATGAACTCTGTACATTCCGAAACCCTAAACCCTAAATCCTAAACCGTAGCTGTACCTCTGACATGCCCCGGGGGTCAAAATATCCACATACACCGCGTCCGATTGCTCGAAACATGGCATCGGCAATCGTTCTAGTGCAAGAAGAGGGCTCAGGGTTCAGGGCTTGGTGGTTAGGGTTTAGGGTTTAGGGGTTAAAGGGTTTAGGGGTGTGTTCCTGAACCGCGAACTTTGAAACTTCAAGCTCCTCCACCATCGACCTGATGAGGGCGAAGTAGATCTCTCCGCCTGCCCGGAAGAACAACAATCACCAGCACTCCCTATTTGCCCATGTACCCAAGCAGTATATGCTTTGGCCCCACGTATGTAGGGACTCGTTTAAGGCCAATGTATAATATACTATTTGCGTACATGGACCCTTACAGACTTTTCATGCAAGACAGGGGTACTGGTGCCAGTACCGATGTTGTCTTGATGTCGTCGTCGTCGTCATCGTCGGCATCGTCATCGGCGTAGTCGCAGTCGTCGCCGTCGTGGCGCTTGTGGCCATCGTGGCGAAGGGACCTAGAAAAAACAAAGCCTCTGGGACCATCACAATGAGATGCCAAACCCTAGCCCCTACACCCCTAAACCCTAACCCTAAACCCCTGAACCCTTAAACCCTAAACCCTGAAACCCTAAACCCCTAAACCCCCAAACCTAAACCCAAAGCCCAAACTCTTCACAAGAACCAGAGTTTCTCAGAAGCCCAAGGGTAAAACCTGCATAGCCGGCCTTCATCGCTCGGGTAGAGCCTCGAAGACTTCCAGAAGAGAAATGAACTGTTTCGAAAATTAGGGGTACCTTTAAAAGGATCCAGAAGGGTTCCTCAGAGGGATCTATAAGGGCTCCTATAAGGGGCTTAGGTTTTAGAGTTTCCGAAAATTAGGGGTGCCTTATTTGGGGGTCCTCATAATAAGGATCCTACTATTTAGGGTCCTGTATTAGAGTCACCTATTTTCGGAAACTCCCAACCGAACACGTCCGACCCAATCGGGTTAAGGGCATGCTTTAGTTCGGCATGTCTCACTGGATGAACCCACAGAAGCAGCTTCGGACAATGAGCGTATCCATGGGAATGGACCTGTACATCTGGAGGAAACTCTTCTCAACCGGATGTCGTTGAAATAGTAAGCTGCTATTATCTACTATTACGACTTCAAAACAAGCCTCATGTTTACAAATGGCTTGCAAGCTCTTCTAATCATGTCCGTCTAGCTAGATCCCTCTACCCTACACTCTGAACTCTGCCTATAAGCTCCATTCCGTTTCCTTTTTGGTTGTCCAAGTTTGTTTTAAAGGATCCTGGCCATAAAACAAAAAAAGAATTACAGCGCAGGCTGTAGATAAGCTCTAGACTCTAAATCCCCAACAATCTGAATGCCGGGGAGTGCTTGCGTGCTCCTGGCTTGAGGCAGGAGGCAGACAAGGGCTCTAAAGCATTAATTCCATGTTAAGGTTCAGGTTTTAGGGTTTAGTTTAGGGAACCCTAAGCCCCAAACCCTGTTTCCAGGCCTTTTGGTATAGAACTTCCGACTGCGTTGTTATGGAAGTAAGTAAGATACAGCACTCACGACTCGGGCTTCTACGGGCGAGCACAGCAAGGGTCTGGTTAGTCTGAGCTTCGATGCACAATAGGCATCGAACTTCGATACTGTTTGGCAACAACTTCAAGATCTCGCTAAGCGTTGAACCTCATTCTTGGGAATAGTTCGTCATACTGTATGGACATCAATGCATATTGCTGTCCCTATTTTTGTTTAGACCTTGATCTCGGACCCCGGCCCACCAAGATTTCGGCGGATGAGGTAAAGAGCATGCTTGCCGACAGCAAGGAAGCACCTGCGTCAGCTTGGGTTAGGTTTGCGGCTTGGGAAGGGATACTTTCATAGAGAGTGCAGCACTCTGGGCTTGGGACAGATCAGGGATTTCCTGCAGGGAAACAATAAATGCGACCCTGATGAAGTTCAAACCCCAAGCAAAGCCCAACCTCAACACCCGAGCTTCAAGCTCACCTTCCCCACATCCAAGCCCTAATCTTAAACCTCAATCAAACCTGAGACTCTACAACCCAACACCTGAAACCATAAAGGTCGGGCACGAACAATTAGACTAGCTCTCTGGGCCTATATCTTATACAGCTATACAGTATTCGTAACTATGTATAAACATGTGTGCGTATGCACGTATGTATGTACGTATGTATGTATGTATGAATTTGTGCATGTCTGTATGTATGTATGTATGTATGTACAGATGTATGTATAAATGTATGCATGTATGCATGTATAAATCTATGCATGTATGTATGTATGTACAGATGTATGTAGGTATGTATGTATGTATGTATGTATGTACAGATGTATGTCTATATATATATATATATATATATATATATATATATACACACATATGTATTTATGCATGTATGTATGTATGTATGCACGTGTGTATGCATGTATGTATGAATGTATGTGTGTATGTATGTATGTATGTATGTATGTATGTGCGTATGTGTGTGTATGTATGTGTGTGTGTATGTATGTATGTATGTATGTATGTACGTAGGTAGGTAGGTAGGTATAGGTAGGTAGGTAGGTATGTATGTATGTATGTATGTATGTATGTGTGTGTGTATGTGTGAAAATAACACCTCCCTTTTTCCCCCAGACTTTGCCAACCGTCGTTGGCTCAAGACCACTTTGCCCTACGAGAAAAGGCGCTGCTGAACTTCAGGGTTACTTTGGTCTAAGTCGTGTGAGCTTGTGCACGGAATTACTTTAGGGTAGTTTGGTGCGCATTCTGGACTAGTGTACTTTCGCATGGTAGCGGAGCTGAAAGCTCCACGGAACTTTGGTAGAATAACATGGCGCTAGGAGGTGAAGACAACTTTACAGGAAAGCTTCGGCTTCCTCTGCCAGAGACTTTCTCTGGGAACCCAGCAGACTGGGAAGAATGGTCATGGAACTTTAAAGCGTACATTTCGATGTTCGAGGTAGGTGCTGTGACTTTGATGGACAATGCCGAAATGCGAGCGGCAGCGCAGGGTGACTTTACAGATGCTGATCTAACAGTCACTTTGGGCACAGGTGATGTTGATCCGGAACAGACCGCCAACCGAGTACTTTTCTCCCGAAAGCTACATTACCTGATTTCTCAACTTGTGAAAGATTCGGCGAAACTTGTTGTTCGTCAGAACGAGGACAGCAACGGCTTTGAGACATGGAGGAGACTTTACAAGAAGTTCTCGCTGCCAGGAGCCACGCGGAGTACGTCACTTTTGACGCAGCTGTTGGACTTTAAGTTCAACCCAGCAACCTTTGAGCAGGACTTTAATGTTTGGGAGACAATCAAGAGTAGATATGAACGACAAGTAGGACAACCTTTGCCTGATGGTGTTCTTGTTGCAACTTTGCTGAACAAAACCTCTGGAGCTTTACAACAACACCTTAGGTTGAATGCCCAAACTTTGGCAACTTATGCTCAAGTTCGAGAAGTTATCCTTGAGTACCATAGGTCACGACTTTTGATGAATCCAGTTGCACAAACTTCGGCGAATGCAACTTTTGCTGGTGGAGCCTCGGCTCCCATGGACATTGGTGCCTTAGCGGCAGCTTTGTGGAAAAGGAAAAGGAAAAGGAAAAGGAAAAGGAAAAGGAAAAGGAAAAGGAAAAGGAAAAGGAAAAGGAAAAGGAAAAGGAAAAGGAAAAGGAAAAGGAAAAGGAAAGGACTTTTCGAAGTCGTTTGGAAAAGGAGGACAACATTGGAACTTTATGATGAAAGGAAAAGGAAGAGGAAAAGGAAAAGGAAAGCCCACTTCTGGTTCTACTTCGGTTTGCTGGACGTGTGGTAAAACAGGTCACTTTTCGAGCAACTGTCCTTTGAACCGTGTTTCAGCTGTTGAAGGTGAAGAACTTTACCCGTCGGAGGACGCAGGAGATTGGAATCACTTTGGTGAGTCCGATGATTGGACAGATTGGACCGAATGGGCCGTGAACGCGGTCACGGAACTTTACAACGACCCTAACAGTTGGGATCAGACTTGGGATGATCAACTTTGGTCTTGGGATGCTTG